GAAGCAGCTTCACCGTGTCCAATGTTGGCTTTGATGGCACCCAAGTGCAGAGTCTGCTCGGGGGTACGCTGGCGGTGGCGAGGAGCAAAGGCGTTGGTGACTGAGGTCATCTCAATTCCATCACCGGCCTGAGTACCAGTGCCGTGCATCTCCACGTAGCTAATCTCATGAGCATCAACACCGGCGTTGGAGAGGACCTTGTTGTAGAGGTACTCTTGAGCACCAGCGTGAGGGTGGGTGATGGAAACGGCCTCGGCACTGTGGTTGGTGGCAGCGCCAAGGATGCAACCAAGGATGTTGTCCTTGTCAGCAATGGCATCCTCGTAACGCTTGAGGACGACGGAACCACAACCGTCACCACGGCAGTAACCATCAGCATCGTTGTCATAAGTCTTGCAACTTCCAGTCTTGGACAAGAACTGGCCCTTGCTAAGACCGGAGAAAATGTCCGGATTAGTCAGGACATTGAGGCCACCGGCGCAAGCAGTATCACAGTCACCAGCCCAGAGGGAAGTGCAGGCCAGCTGGATGGCAGCAAGCGAAGAAGAGCAAGCAGTGTCCACACTGTAGGATGGACCGGAGAACTTGAAGTAGTAGTTAATGCGACCGGGCGCGAACGCCCTCACACCACCCGTGATGAAGTAGGTGTCGATGTTCTCTGCAGCGTTGATCTCACGCCAATCGTCGGAAGTCTGACCGTAGAAGGTACCAATGCGCTCGAGTTTGGTCGAGGGAGTACGGTTTGGTACGTATCCAGACATTTCGAGGGCTTCGTAGGCAGTTGTGAGGGCTAGACGACCCATGGGATCAGTCTGGGCAGCCTCACGGGGAGACATGTTGAAAAAGCGGGGGTCGAATAGACCAGGCTCGTCGATGAAGCAGCCGTAGGGGGTGTGACTCTTGTTCTTGCCCTTGCCTGAGGGGTCGCAGTGGGCTTTTGCGTCGAAACGGTCTGCAGGGACTTCGCGATGGACATCCAGACCGCGCTCGAGAAGATCCCAGAGCGCCTCAGGGTTGGCAGCACCGGGGAAACGACCAGACATACCAACAATGGCAATCTTGTCGTTCTGTGTACGGCCACGGCTATCATGCTCGGCTGGCACCCAGGCAGACTGGTCACGGACGGTGATGGCTGATTGGCCACCATTCTTCAGCGCGGATGCAAGGCTGTTGGTAATGGATGTTACACCGAATGCGGAGACAGAGCACTGTGTATTGGATGCAGAGGTGACCTGAGAGACGACCTCGGAAAGGAGGCTGTCCCATCTCACAGGCTCCACAAGCATCTCATGAAGAGCAGTTCGGACCAACTCCAGAGTGTTGGTGGCAGTCTGGCATTTTCCGGTGGCTGCCGAGTGGACGAGGGCGACAGGGCGGAATTGCTGCAGATGCCTGATGGCGTCTTTGTCGAGGATACGGTCGATTTCTGCCTGAGCATACAGGTGAGATGCATGGTAGGGCGCATATACGGGGATGGCAACACGAGCACTGGACTTGAAGGCTTCCTTCTCGAGAAGGCGCTTCGTGGTAGCAGGCGGGCCGCTGATGGTTAGCGCCATTGTGCTAACGGCGCTAATGTAGGCCTGAGCCAGGGTCGGGATCTTTTGCTCCTCGTGGAATGCAGCGATGGCGTCCTTGGCAGCATCTTCAGAAATGTTGGTCACGATAGTGGACCACGAATCTTTGGAGGCAGAAGATTGCTCGAGTGCCTCTTTGGCTGCACCAACGCAGGTACCTGCGCGGAAAGCAACTCGGACGGCTTCGGTCGCGAGTGGGAGAAGCTCACTCAGTGACCTGGCAGATGCAACAACAGAACCTGCAAGGAGACCGGTGCAAAGACCGACGACTCGGGTGTTTGATGGGTTTGGAAGCTCTGTTGGGTTCTCGGCAAAGTATCTGAAAGGTCAGCAGGACACTTGGCAAGCACATGAAGAAAAAAGGCTCACCCAATGTAGTGCGCCAACTGGGCAATGGTAACCATACAACTCTCAATCTCAGGGATTTTCAGTCCCTTGGCGTAGTATGCTTCCACAAGATCCCATGTTGTCAGGAAGTTGGGGATTTGGTCTCGCTGTGTTCGTGGCAGCTTTTGCACCTCTTCGCGAATCACAACGCTGATCCGGTCGAGAAAGGTTGTCAGGGTCGCGTTGCTCTTCCAGGTGCAAGCCTTCCGCAGGAGCGGGTACTGGTCGGCGGTTTGGTCTCCGAAGATGAGGACATCCATTTTAGCAAAGGGTATAAAAGAAGAATTATAAAAAAAAAGATGGAAAGATGCAGTAATTCGGTGCCGAAAAAGGCAGAGTAACCTCGATGATGTATTTAGGAGGTGAAAGGGGTGGGCTTCCAAAGTTAATGGAAGGGTAGTTGGTGATATATGAAGGCGAAGAGCTCCAGTGTCATATAACTTAGGCACTTGATGCAAGGGTAATGGCCCAAGAAACTGGAGGAGGAATGGTGGGATAGAAAGGGATCTGGGTCTGGAGGTACTCGTATATGTATGTGATCAGCCTGGAATGATAGGCGTAAGATGTCAAGAAGGTGGTCAGGGCGTGGATCGCGCGATGACAAGCACAGTGCGTGCCGGATCTGTTACAACCCATGTATTGCGGAGCGAAGTACTGCAGAAACGTATTGACGTGAGAATCAGTGTGGCCCGCGGACCACTTCCCTTCCTGGATAGTACACCATAATTCCGAGGATTGATGGCGTGCAGATGCCGGCTGTGCGTCCGAGTAAGCTCGCATGCCTATTGATAGATGGCGCGCTAGACGTGGAGACCAGCGGCTGAGATATGCAGCCAATGCATTGCGGATGATAGTACTTAGAGATGAGACGTGGGGACGTGAGAAGCGAGGGCGCTGTCTCAACTCTGGTCTAGTGGCTCGGATCCCCTCCCAAAGGCCGGGGTGGATAGACGTCGAGTCCGTGTGCTCTACTATCAATTACAGCATCTTCCAGGCAAGTTTAGGCTTAGATCTATGCAGTCAGGAAGAATCCATTCTGGTAAAGTGTGCATGCTGGAGCTGCTTGAAGTGAACCCTGTACACATGTGGAAGACTAGTGGGTACAGGCATCACAGTACAGGACCTCCGGGCAAACCGAGACCCTCGTGGCAGTTCCGTGACACAAGAATGTGGGTGCTATATTCTTCGGGTCAACAGCTTGTCGTACCGAAGTGTTCCAGATAGCATGTAGGTACTATGAGGCGGATGGTGAGGTTGACGAGTCGATCAAGACCTGGTAAATCATCCGGTGAGCGATCAGAAACGCTGCCGGATCTCTGTCAGCGGTTCCATTGCCACGTATCGAGTACTATGATGCTACAGCGTTGTTGGCTTTGACCAAGCTTCTGGAGCCCCCGCTCGGACTTATGGCTGGGTGAGCACGCTGGCTGGGAGGTTCAGCATGAGGCATAGCGTACGTCTCGGAATGCCTGGAGCTCGGCGTCTCCTAATGATCATCAGAGCGCCAGCTCATCGGGTCGCCTACTTTGGGTTGGTCTGAAAACAAGCATAAGGAAAGCAAGCATTGCTTTGGGCGGATGGTTGATGTGGATATTCGAGCATCCAAGCGCCCAAAGCCACCAGCCATGGGAAGCGCGCCGTTGAGACGCTCATCTCTACGCCCGCCTAACGTTTGCCAGGCGTCAATCGTGGCTACTCAAAGGCTGAGCAAGCTTGTCATTTCTGTGAATAGTTACAGTCAGCCATGCCCCATTTCACGGCTTCCCCAATACCGACGCCACAGGCGGTACTCCGGGCTTACGACGGGAGTAGCATATCTAAAACTGATAGGCTAAGTCGAGGAACGCCTGACGATAGATACGGGCTTGCATCGCTTGTTCCTGTGGGGCGTAAGGTCCTGAATAGTGGGCGAAACCAATCGCCTACGGCCTTGGACGGTCATGGTAAGGATGAGTACAGGGCCAGACGTGCTGATAGACCGTTTTTTGTCCCATATCTCGACAGATACACAATCTAGAATCCAAGCACCGTAGAGCTGGCATGCGGGGGACAGTGCGGGTGGTGGTGCTCGTGGTGGGGTGTATTTGTGATTACGAGGTGACGTTCATTACGGAGAGCGGAGAACCGAATAAGCAATGGGAAAATGATCGACAAGCTTTCTGCCATCTGCCACCGCCCGTCAACCCTATGCCTACGACCCAGCCACACACGGCACATGACATCCAACCTTGGAAACAGAACAGCGCCTTGTCCCTGACAGCATCAAGCAGATTACATCAACATGGGAAACACTGCCTGCGTGCCCTCAGAATAGCAACTCAGTCTACAACGCCGTGTTTTACGAACACAGTCGAAACGGCCCACACCAAGTGTCAGGGCAGTGGTACGTAGTGGTGGCGCCACCACTCGCGTAGTCGCCAGGGCGCAAAGGCAAAAACTCCTGGCATGCATTGTAGGAACCCTGAAATGGTTCGTCTCGACACATGTTTCACCCCTCGTATCCACCCCCCAATCTCGAAGGATGCTCCCAAAAAAAATCACCGCGTGCGTCTGATACCACGTCGGACCCCGAATGCGGTGAGGACAGCCACGAGATTCGAGTTTCCCATGTGTACATGGGCGCGGTCCATGCCCCTTTCTGCACCCTGTTTGCTTTTCTCGAGCCTTTTACTTGGTTTTTGATGTCAGCCTCTCTAGTCTCCGCACGCTTGTGTTTTCTCCAAATTAGGATATACCTGCGTGTGTCACACTTCCCCGAGCCTCTAACTCTTTACGCCCAAGTGCCTTGTGCTCCTGGATCTTGCTCTTTCTGGAAGTCGACATCCATTGACGCTGGATCGCACTACAAAGTTACGGGACATTCTTTTTCCAACAACGCATACACTGGCGTCAGTCTGGGGGTAAATTAGTCGCCGACTCGCTACCTTATCACCAAGTCTTCAAGCCAGACTGTCCCAACACTTGGCAAATCTTCAGGCATGTGATAATGCCTATAGGCTAATGGTCAATCAAAATAGCCACTTCGTCAGACGTAACATGGAAGTCATTGCACGGATGAGCCAGTACAAGCAAGGCGATATGCTCGCATCAGCTGTACCATCAGCCCCTCTCCATGACAAGTCACTCATCCGGGGACATTCTGCGGCCTATGAACAATATCTCCTCCTTAGCATATGTCATCCTTCTCCACAGTACACTCTACAACCACTGTCATCGCCAATGTCCCAAGTCTTTTGCTTGTGCACGGTGCGTAATGTAGCTGCAGTCCAGCGTGGCGAACATGCACGGTAAGTCTTCCGCATGGACGCCGGGACTGACGGTATACAGATTCTAGTCCAGCCCCTTGATGCTTTATGCGGGCTGCTAGATGGCACAAATCGCCTTGCGGGAATTCTGGCTCAGCAGCTAACAATGCAAAATGCGGGCATTGACCACTGGGAATAGAGCCGCTGCCGTAGAGTTGTATCTCTTCAGCCCCATTTCACCCCACTCAAAAGCCTCAAGGTCTAGGCGATCGAGCCACTCGGATCAGCCAAATCATCTGCTGGGGTTTCTTGGGATGTGGCACCAGTGAGGCGGGCATATCTACGACATTGCCTTGAACGTTCCATCAGCCAAGCCGAGTGGACGGCGCCCAAGGTTTCTTCGTATTTAGCCCGAACGTATGGTCGTACCCGGCTCTCGGATCCCTCTACAGATGTCTTGGATAAGATTGACACCTGAATTGCGCAATGGGCTGAAGGCTTTCCAGGGTCCGCATTAATCGGATGTCCGAAGTTTGCCTGGAGACTTTTTGATCCTGCAAGTTTGCAACAAGCAACACAAACCTCACGGATCACATCCGCCCTTGGCCTTGTACGCACTTTGGGACCGCGACAAGAGTTTGCATGATCGCTTTGCGCTATCATCTCCATGGCGTCACCCCCGTGCTTAGACCACTTTTATAATTTCTCAACACAACACATGTCTTGCACACGGATAAGCATCGGGTCTAGTAACTCCTCAGCAACGGGCCGCAACAAATGACATGAGCGGGCCGAGTGACAACGGTAAATATCGATGATGCTCGCATCTAGAATGTCGCTAAGCGCTCCTCTGGCGTCCAAGCAGATGGTTCGCTGGCGACGAATCCCGTCCCACGGTTTTCCATGGCAACGGGACGGAACGTTGTTCAGAAGACTGGATAGCTGCCCACTATGGGAAAGTGTGCCATGCACAATATATTGGCATGTTAGCACGAGCACGATTTGCGATTTGGATCTCGCATAGGGCATCTTTTCTCTGAACGTTTGTTCGCAGTTGAGGGGTGGAGGAGCCTGCGGAGCCTTGTTCCGCACGATTTAGCACATACACCCCACGCATGAGAGATGTCCTGATAGTAAGTGGATCCAGCGCAATCCAAGTCGCATGTTTTAGCGCCCCAATGCTCCAATTGGAAATCCGCTCGTTGCGGCTAAACGGATCGCCCCTTAGTCTGCCAGGCCTTAATTGGGGGGCATCAAACGGCTGCTTGGCAGCTCGGACTAGCGCGGGCGTCCGCGCCGAACCGTCGTAGGAATGCCGATTCGATATAACATGACATGTCGGTGTCAAGAGGAATGGGTAGGAACGATCGCTGAGTAAGTCTGTTAATGATCCTTCCGGAGTTGTTTCTAAGATAGAACGGTGCTGCAGTAATCCCCGTAGCCCTGCTGTTATGCAAAGATGATGTGGGATGGCAGTAGTTAGTTTTGAAACAGCCTTCTGTACTACTACATGCAGGCCCATTGTCTTCTCTTGCGACCCTTGGGTCAGAGGTCTGCAGTCATAGCTAGGCTTCAGCTGACACGTATTATGATGTGCGTAGAAGATGCAAGGTGTTCCGTCGTGCACTACGGATACCTTGATTTCCAGTCATCATTCCTATCGCATTTGTGCGATTGTTTCGTGCAGCAAAAATCTTACGTAATATTGATATAGAATAGATCGCTGTAGTATGAAAAGAGGATACTGTTCTTTTGTAAAGAACAGGCTCGCAAAATTACAAAGGATAAAAAATATGTGGTTAATCAAGTAGGTAGACTTCGTAGGGAACCAGGATAGCAGAAACCCACGACGAAGGATTCCATCCTTCCGCTTCCTTACAAATAACAATCAAGAATACTATAACCATGTAATTCACTAGATCACTAATCTCTCCATGATCAAGAATCCCCTAGATATAGAGGCAAAAGATATCCCACCACACACAACCTACCATCTTGCCCTAGTCATTATCCAGATCGCAACCCTCACTACGTTGCCATGCCCTAGATAAAGCGCTATTCAATAGCAGCCTCGGTAATCTTACAATTACCCTATGATGTTGATACGCGAGGGGAGCGGTAACCTAGATGGGGTGTTTCATGACGTTATAGACTGTGGGGCCGGATTTATGACGCGGTCATGGACTTTTCGAGGCTGTACAGAGGCATTCACGCAACAACACAGCTTCCTATCTTGTCATAATTAGAGTTTTTAATGCACAAGGAACATAGGAAGTACAGGACATGGATGAGTGTGAGTGATGCTGCGTGGTGAAAAGGGTAGAGCCCATTGGATCGGGCTTTCAGTGCTGTGAATACCGTCCTGCGTGAATATCTAGATGCAGACAGAGAATGGGTTAGGGATGTTTTTATTGATTTCTAGATTTATGTCCCGAAGGTTGTTGGTGACGCGTGTGTTCCACGTGGACACACTGGAATGGGCAGCGGCATGTTTTGTACGATATGAATTATGCACACGCAATGGAATAATTAACACTCGAAAAAATAGAACTCTCTTATTTTCTACGCCTTGTAAAAAATAGTAAAACTTGATATGTTCCTAATGACAAATAATGGTTTGTTTCATTTCACTGTGTAACGTCTAGTAACAATGCATTTCCATTGAAGCTCTTTTACAATCAGCCAGACAATATGCAATGCCAAAATTCAGCCTCTAGAAATTAAACATGTACAATAAGTCTATTCGATAACATATCGATTCATCGCTATGAACAATCCCATTACCAAATCTTCAGTTGTTAGATATCCTTTTCGCCCCAAAAGAAACGTAACATAACAAACAACAAACCCTTCCTTCGTACAACCTCAACCCGCCGCTCATCAGACTCTAACAAGGCAATCCCCACCATCACCATAAGCACCTATTATCGGGACTCCAGCCACATTCCCACATCCCGCAAATTTCTCCACGCGTATCCTGTACCACGCCCCCAGAAAAAACAACAACAAACAAACGACATCACAGCCCTCAAACTCCACTCTTCCATTTTCTAGCCTCTCCTCGCCTCAACCCGTGATCGCGATCTACAACCCTTTCCTCGCTCTCTCCGCCCATCCACGTAATCACCCACCTTCTCATTTCACACTCGAGATCTACACAACAAAAAAGATAAGGGCATCCAACGTAATCCCCCCCGTTCCCTCGCCCTTTTCCCGCATTCCTTTTCCTTTTTACACAGCCAGCCACAAGCATTGAAAGGGAAAACCAACATCCCCCTACGCCCCCATACAACCGCTAGGCATCTAAAGAAAGACACGGCATTCTCACACACCTGTACACGCAACGCGCGGAAAAATGTAACCACAGCGGTGTGTAACATACCCCCAACACCGAAACACTGAAAACTTCCCGGGAATGCCGAGTTGTTTTGTTCGAGAAAAGGAAAAAATGTGGGCGGGAAAGAGAAGAGAATGGAAGGAGCCACGTGCACGGGTGCAACGGGAGGGGCGAAGCGGAGGGGTGGGTTTTTTTCTCGAGGTGCATAATCTAGCTTGCGTGTACGGCATATGGAATGTAGTACGAAGGATGAGATGGGAAAGACGGAAAATGGACGAGAAAGGGAAATGGGAATGTTTTGGGGTGGTTTACGTGGTTTGTCTGTTGAATTGGGAGGGGGGGGGGGGCAATATGGGGGCGAATGAGATGGGTGTGTGCAGGAGTTACTGTGTTTGGACTGAATGTTTATTTGATGGTAGACATGTATAGAGTTTACAATTTATTTACTATTAGGAGTGTGGGCACAATGCGTGATACACGTGTTCCACCTGGGGGGAAGTACAGGTACTTGATATCAGTAACGATATTGGCTTGCATTGTGTTGTAGTCTGTTTAAGAAAATTTTTTTTGGACCAAGCATTGCTAAGGCTGCTGATTGTCAGCATGGGAAGGGAAGAAGCGAGAGAGTTATGTATGCTAGGTGGTAGTGTGTGTAGACATGAAGAATATTCACAAATAAAAAAAATCAAGACAATTCCGATTGTGCGTTCTAGCGGAACTTAGCTGAATACAGAGTTTTTTGTAATTCAATTTCAATATGTAAAAAAAAGAGACAAGTGGTACTTTTCAAGAGAAAGACTTTTTTGAGTTTACAATGTTCACAAAGACATAGAGCAGTTCGGCGACTTCCCAAATGTCACGCAATCATTAACATGCCCAGAAATAGAAATATCCTAATCTGTCAACGCACCATGATACTGAACAGGGAACCGTTGTTTACTCTATTTCTAGAAAATGGGCTATGTGGATTTTTCCGAGATAGAAACACAACGAACATTAGGCAAATTTCAATTGCTGACACTAAAAACATTTCTATAGGACGGCTATTTCCAAACTCAAGACGCAAGTTGTTTCCCATTGAGAAGTAAAACATGCTACTCTCTCATCTAAGAATCTGATATCCAACAAAAAAAAGATCTATCCTTCAACGCCCTGCACATTTCTTACTTTTTTGCTGAGTGAGAAGAGCCATGTTGTATGACGAGTGCATGCATCGATTTCTGCATAGCCTGGGTGTAAGCGCACATCGAAAAGCTCTGATGATAACCGCCCCCTTGGGCTTGCGGAACAACGTGTGGAGAAGAGGTGGATACCCCATTGGCCTAGCTGAAGCTAGTCAAACATTACCATACGCATACATTACATGTAGATGTGCATGCAGATGGATAGTGCTTAGCTAGCGGTGCTGGAACAGGCAAACGCGATTGCGACGTCTCCATTATCTGGATGATCGGGGTAGAGTTTTGGTTGTCGCGCCGATGGCTTCTCTTCAGAGATTAGCGAGAGCGGTAGGGACATCCGCATAGTGGGGGCGGCGCGGAAAAAATGGTTGAAACAACATATGATGCGGTACTCCGTGTGTAATGACGGAGCTCCTTTGGCGCTCTGCACGTAATCATCTAGAAAACGATGCAGCGGGAGGGCGCAAGACCAATTCGCCTCTCGCTCACGGCGTGAGTCGGCGTCTCCATCTGGGCGCTGTATGGTATACACATGCAAAAGCAAGACTTTGGGTCGTTACTGCTTACCAGTGCGCAATAAGTGGGGGGTGATTCAGGCCCGTGGGGCTGGGGGGGTTTCCAGAGGGTCAGCAGAAATGGCATTGCACCCGCAGGCTAAACGGTTTTGCCACAGCATGTCGAGCGAGCAGCGGACGGATGTGGCACGTTGTATGGTTGTTGTGGTTATCACTTTGCCGTTTGGGATAGCTGATGATGTAGAGTAGTGAGGCTTGGGAACGAGGGGGAGTTTGTGGCTACTGGGGCCAGCGTTCCGGGCGCTAGTCCAGATTGGGCGCCAACAGCTTAGCCACCAATATTGCTATACATAAGCCCTGCATAATTGTCATCACTGCTGCTTGTGAATGGATTATGCGGAAAACTATGTAGTCATCTTCTCGTGTGAAACCCACCTGTGCCCATGGGCCTTTTTCGTGCATAGCCCCGGTCGTGCTCGACCTTGGACGACGCTCAAGACACACGCTGTACTGTCAGGTCAGTGAGCATCGAGATGCCGAAGTGTAACCGCACCTTGTGGCACGCCGGGCCTGGACTGACAAGCGCCGTTCGCCCGCAGCGGGCCCTCTCGGCAGCCCAGTTCCTGTTACCACTGCTCCGCTCCCGCCTGCTGTCCCCGGCCAATAGGACTATACGGATATTTTAGATGCTCTGCTCGTAAAACACGGTACTGTGGGCCATAGCACGGCTTGAAGCGTACGAAGCCTCTGCATAAAAATGGAAATTGCCCAACTAATTCCATCTCAACACGCTGCTTGACTGGGTAGCATTGGCCAACTCTGGTTTGCTATAATGCTGGGCAACAGAACGTCAGCTCACGCGATAAAACGCAGCGCGTGTGCCTTATCGTGGATTACTCGACGTGTTTCACCTGCAGGATCCGCACAGCCTGCCAAACGTGTCTCGCTGCCATGTGCTTGTGCCAGAGAGCCTGGTGTATCCAAAATAGTAGCCTGTGTATGTATGTATAGTCTCAGCAGGGTTCTACGCTCGCGTTTCGTCAGGGATAGTATGTCGACGAAAGTCGTGGTAGGCACAGCATTCACGGGTCTGGTTTGCAGTGCTAAAACAAGCGGCCGCTTTGGTTGTGGTTGCAAATACGATGCATGCAGCTGATCAGCAAGCCGTCAGAGGAAGCGGCAGTAACAAGCTGTACCCTTATCACGACATCGCCACGCCGACAAGGAAACGACTCGTCTTTCCTGGCAAATGGTCGTCGTGCGTCCCAACATGGGGTCGTATCTGCGATTGCACTTAATCTGGCTCCCTGAGTCACTGGCTGCCGTAGAGTCTCGTATCGAGTAGCTAAAGCTCGCAAGGAATACGGGGTAAAGTAGTCGCCATGATGAATGCCGTCATAGGGGTCAACATATCTGGTATTCAAGAGTAATTGCAGCCAGTCCAACGGTCAGTCAGGCAGCCAGGCAGCCAGGCCAGCAGTGTTTAGGGCCGAGTAAGGAATTTGAAACAGTAGCCCGGGGGCGTAATGGCAATATGTGGGGTATGGTGATTGGCGAAACGACTGGCAAAAAGCTATGGGACCTCGAATGGGGCATAGCGTGTTTCTGGAAATGTCTGTACGGTCCATCCTTAGCAGCAGGCGGCCGTGCAAGAGTCTCAGGCATCCCGTGACGGACGGGATGATGAGAACGTGCGATTGAGCGATTTGCTCGCACTGGCACTCGCACCAAGCGGTGGCGCCAAGGCCGGTACCGAAGCGAGTCGCGTAGCAGCGCTTGTTCGGCGATCTATGGCTCCAGTATCCCTTTCACGGAGCGATCGGCCTTAGGGCTGGCGTGGGGTAACCCAGATTGGGCCCGCTGGCTGGGACAAGAAACACTTGCTGCGTCGCAATTGGAAATGTGCTGTCGAAAATGCACATGGACATGGCGATCTTTGCCCTCGAGCAGCAGATTTCAGGTAGCCTCTATTGCTCTACCAGCGCCTCGCTCCACACCCCAGGCTTGTTGGGTGGCGCGGGGTCTCTGTGGTTATCGTTTGCATCATGAAGAAAGCGGCAGCAGGCGTATCGATTACGCGGTGAGCGAACGGTTGCTTTGGGGCTTTTCACACTGCTCTAGTCGCAGCGGCATATTGCCGCAGAGGCCCCAGGCTTGAGTCGAAGCAAGGGCAGGGCCGTGCAGAAGACGGTGAGAGGTGTGGTTCTTGGGTGCATTTGTGAGGAAGCGAAAAAGCACAGTGTGAAGGGCTGTCAAGTCCCAGACCGCAAGTGATCGCCCACAAAGCAATTTTCATGTTGAATCTGCGACCAGGCTGGCGGTCAAAAGAACAAGTTTTTGCAGTGCGACTACGAGGCGTGCATTCGAGACGTGGCAGCGAGCAATGGGAGGCGGCGGGCCGGGATGAAGCTGTGGTGGTAGTGGGAGTGACGCAGTCACGTGTGCAGGCGATCAGAGGGGGGAGGGGAGGGCGGAAGGCGGAGGGCGGAGGCGCTAGACAACAACACGTCGAACTGGATGCTGGTACGTATGTAGTAGGTACATGCCCACGTCCATCCACCCACACACACACGCCTACATACATATGTACACACATACACCTGTACCCGCCATGTTCCTGGGCGACGCCAGCGCCAGTGACGCACAGGGCTCACCGTTCGAAACAACTGACCAGCACCAGCGAGGCCCACGCCAATGCAAGAGGCACAAGCACAAGCACGAGCATGACGGACGAGCAATGGAGACGAGAGCGCCAGCCAGCCAGCCAGCCAGCCAGCCGATCCAGTCCAAGTGTGCGAGGGAAAGGATAATTATTAACAATACAGCTAGACCCGCAACGGCAGTAGGGAAGACTCGCTTGCTCCATTGCTCGCGGTGCTCGCTCGCCTGGCTTGCTGGTGAGTGGCCACGGGGACGAGGAGCGCAAAGAAGCAACCGCAGGGCCACAGGTAGCAGCAGTAGTGCCCGCTCTGGCACGGGCAAAGCGCTGGTGGTGCCAAAGGCAAAGGCAAAGGCGACTCGGTGGGCGCCTGTTCTGTTTCTGTGAAAGCTCGACTCAGCCGCGCCATGATGCTACCTGATGCTGCTGACAAGGCATATCACTGCCTGCGCAAGTAACAAGACGCGAATGGGCTTCGTATCCCTCGCAACGGACGAGCTGGGACGAGCTGAGCCAGGCTAGGCTCGCTGCTGGCAAGGCACATGTCTAGATGGAGACATTGCTGTCCGCGACCCTCCGTCCATAGACGACCAAGGTTTCGTACCGACAGGACAGGACAGGACTCGGGGGCCGCTGATCATGGCGTGTAATACTGCCGTATTGCGGCAATACATTAATTACGGCTCTGTACGCCGTTTTTTTTCTTTTCCGCCCATTCGCCTGGCATACCTGGTCCGACTTTGTGGCTGACGCGGACCCGGCGCGCCTCTTCCTCACCCACCCACCCCTCCCCGCTGCACGCACCTCCACCTCGACATCCCATCTAGTCCGCGGTGTAGATCTTCAGCCTGCATCCCTGCCATCGCTGAGTCTTATCATCAACGCCGTGCAGATACCCCTGGTCGCTCAAACATCTTCTTCCATGGCTAACCGGGACGGGCTCGACCCACCCAGGAGCCTGGCGCTGCATCTACCTGCGAGGCACTAGCTCATGCCGGAACCCTCCCCCAGTTGATGAATTCATCGTCGCTCAAATGCATAGTCAACACGCCCTGTTAGGCATGGCCGCCAGTTGTACCCGCTCTTACATTGTCTACCTCGACACTTACCTGCGCCGCCAGAATTGCCTTTTCCCACGCCAATTCGCTCCCCGTGGCTGTTTTCTCTGTCTCCCACGCCCTGCTCTCGCTATTGCTACCTCCCCAGCCTGCTTGGCTTGCTGTACAGCACATGTACCACTTGCTCGGTTCTTGCTTGACCTTGTCCTTCTCACACCACGGTTAGCGAACGGGCTCTGCAGTCAGCTCCACAGCTATCTTTGACACACAGTTTTCGTCTGACGTCCCAACCCGAAGCGCCTAAGAATCGACCTGACGTTCGCCTTTCCCACCTTAGCCTCTATCCTCGTCTCCACTCCATGCTCGCCCCATTGTAACACCTACAAGGACCAGCAATCTTCTGAAGCACTCGTCCACTACCCTGCTTGCTTCTTGGCTCACCGTTACCTGCAGCCACATAGGGCCTCCTCCCCGCTTCAGTCCTCGCCACGCTCTTCCACTCGCCTTTTGATGTCCCCGCCTCCATTTTCATCTTTTTTGATCTGTTCCTGAACCTTGGTCCTTCTTATCCCTACCAACACCCCTTCCAAGTCGACCTTGCAGCCATCATCAACAACCCCTTTGTGGCCAACTTCCTCGTAGTACACGCTTTCTTTTTGAGCAGTAGACATTCAACCCGGATAACCCAAAAATGGTCTTCTGCACATATTGTGGACAGTCGTTCACCAGAGACGAGCATCTGGAACGTCACATCCTTACTCGTAAGTCGTTCTTCGTTCTTTATCACCCTAGTAGAATCGTACCAGAAGGAAATCGCACGGGGCTATCGCTAACCACTCTTTTTTGGACGAGCAGACACCAATGTAAAGCCATTCAAGTGCTTTACCTGCCATATGAGCTTCGCTCGACGGTACGTCTTTCCAGCCATGCTCTTTTTTCCATGCTCTTATCGAAGATCGAGCTGCTGACGCGACCACAGAGACCTTTTGCAGAGGCATTACACCGTCCACGGCCGTAACCAAAATAACGAAGAAGGTCTTCCACCGCAAGGGATAATACCCAAGTCAGCCGGCCGCACACCCATTGCCTGCAGCAACTGTGCAAAGACGAAGACCAAGTGCGATAAGAAATTCCCTTGCACCCGATGTGCTCAGAGAAACTTGAAATGCACACTGCGTCCCACCAGGCGGGCGTCGAAAGGCGTCCAGCGGGTGGGTGGTCCTGCTGAAGCTGGCAGTGGTGATTCCAGTGAAAGCGGTAGCACCACGGAGAACCAAAACAATTCTGGCAATACTTCTCCCAACCATGAGTCTCAATCTCAACCGCAATCACAGCAACCGACTGCCCAGTCTTCTCCTTCTCAGATCCAGCAACAACCTCAGCTATCCAATGGCCAGCCTTCATCTCAACGGCAATCTCAATCTCCATCAGCATCTCACTCCCGAAACCCGTCAATTTCGCAGTCAGTGCAGGCACCATCACACATTAGCCCTGAGGAGAAGGCCCTCCATCTACCGCTTACCAACACACCGCCATTCTTCGACCAGTCACCCTCGCACGCACTCTCCCAAGCGCCTTCTCTTCTCTCGCCATTGCCGACACCAGTCACTGGCATGAACAGCTTTGTCTCTTCAACGCCCATGTCTGGATACGACGACTTCGTGCGGACAGTACGTGACCAGGGTGATAACGAGAGCCCACAGTTCATTATGGATCCATGGCACAACATGCCCATGGATACTGGTTTCGACCCCATGAGACTAGATCCATCACTAATGATGTCGATGGGCATGGATATGTCGATGGGTCCTCCACCGGAGGGCATCCTTGGGATGATACCCGAAATGTCGCCGGCACAAACGTTCGCCCACGCACCAACACCTCGAGTAGACGAATCATTCTCAGACCTCCAAATTGGTAGTTCTGCCGCAATGTTCTACCCATCAAATAGACAATCTTCTATAGCAGATGCAGGCGTCCCTGACCTGGGTGCAATCATCGCCGCCCAAGATGGCTGGACCGTGTTCCGTTGTACTCCTTCCATTGCCTCGAGCTCCTGCCCGCGCACTGCGAGGTTAAATCTCGAGCGTCTGGAACTGAGCCTGAAGAACCACGAAGCTTGGAGTAGCTGGACCCCTTCATGGGATGAATCTGACTTTCAGCAAGGAGGACGCATAGCAGTGTCCAAATTGCAAGAGTCGACGCGTGACAAGCTCCTCGCCATCACTCAAAGCTTCCTCCACAAGGCCCTTGACATCCACAAAGAAGGAAGCAGCACTACGAGTAGCGGTGAGTCTCCTGGCTCAACCGCCTCTCACTCCAACTTTGTTCTTCTGCCACCTGCTCGCGTCCTAGAGTACTTCCTCAAGTCATATGCCAACTCTTTCGAACGCTACTATCCTACCTCTGCGAGGGGAGTGCTGGATACGAATGAGCTGATGCAAAATTACAATGACAAGGCATCGAGTTTGCTCATTCTCATGATGATTGCACAAGGTGCCATGACGATTCCATCGATAGAAGCAAGGTGGTTGACTGGCGGGTTTACCGAAGCCTGTCGCATATCTCTCTTCGATCTCATTGAGAAGAACATCATTATGGCCGGCGATCCCATTGTGTTGCGTGCAGCCCTTCTCTTCACTGTTCAAGCGGCGTGGAGTGGCGACAAGTGGCAGATGGACATTGCCATGGGACAGCGCGGTATGTATTTCTCGATGCTGCGACATTCTGGTATCCTGGATGTTCGCCCGCCGTCAACGCCTCATATGAATGGAACATCGACGACGGACTCGCTGTGGAAGGACTGGCTTCAGCAGGAAAGCCGCAGCCGGTAAGTCTCTGATCTAGTCACATGTCACCACTTACTAATCATTACCCCTAGCCTCATCTACTCCTGGGTCATGGTTGACCAAGACCTGTCACTGTTCCATGACACAGCGCCACTGTTCTCAGTCACCGAGTTTGGTGCTCCTATGCCAGATTCCGATCGTCTGTGGCAAGCGCAGACTGCTTCCGAGTGGTCCGACATGTTCAATCAAGTACACGAGTTCTCCAACGGCTACTCATCCGTGGGCTCAGGGGCGAGGCCACCGAGTCTCCGAGATCTGTTCCGCTACTTCCTGGATGACGAGATTGTTGTCCAAGATGTGCAGGAGATTCACCTTACACCCATGCACTTGCGTCTGCTGCTGCATCCTCTACAGACCCTTGTATGCCAGTACTGCCAACTCCTCAGTTGCTTCTCCGACAGTGTAGCATCGCGATCGCGCAATCGGGCCCTGACTGCGGCGTCGACACGCGTGCGTCTAGAAGAAGTGCAAGCGCTGTTGGGTCGCTGGTTCGATCTCGCCCAGCGGTATATGAAGGCCAACCCAATCTGCCCTATGATGCAAGCCAACCTCGTCATGTTCCACCTCATCAGTATGAATGCTGTATCCAACTTTCCAGAAATAGAGCGTCTTGCGCGTCGCGAAGGCGTCGATGGTTCGTACCAGCAGATGGCGTGGATGCATAAGAAGTGTCTGTCAGATGTCCAAGAAGCCATTACGCACGCTGGCCAAGTCCTTCGTCTGATCCGTGACATGCCACGAGGGATCCGCCCTCCATGGTGGGCAGGCGCCGTATACCGCGCTGCCCTCATTGTCTGGACCGACTCGCTGATTCAGAAAGAATCGACGAGCCCCAACCAGCAAAACGCGTATCAGCAACAATCACCCAACGCTGCATTCTCAGTTGATCGTCTTCCTGCCGATCATCCTACCATCCTGCGATACATGTCGCGAAGAGATGGTATTCCTACTCTTACCAAGCGTGACGGCACACCTGTTCCCCTGGACAACGGTTTCGCTGTCCTCTCACATTGTGTTGATGTTATTGATGAGGGTGTCGCTACAAGATTTTCCGACGGCATCCGTAGCAAGCTACAGAAGCTTGCGCGTGGTTAGAAGATACGATAAGTTCTGTTTTCTTTTCATTCATGTTCCGGCCGTATCCTCGCATAGAGCGAGTTGAAGTGTGCTTAGCGGGCGTCTTCGGTCTTATCTTCTGTTGTGTTATTTTTTGTTTTTCAGCACTTAGAACATGTCGCATCCATCAGTATTCCGCGTCACAGCATACTTTCGAGATGACTGGAAGACGGTATACGCGGTTCGCTTCGGCGGTTGACCGGGCATTCACAACGGCGTTGTTCTGGCTTCGGGTCTCGGCTTTTTCATTTCGGAATCTGGCCTGCAGGCCTGCTTACGCTGGGAACGAGTGGCATATCAAATGTCAGTGCTATACAATTAGAATGGGCACGTTAGTAATGTATGGTACATAAACTGGATGATGAATTACACTTACTGAATCTTGAACGAATGTCAATTTCCGCGGTGCATGTGTCGAGTGCGACCGGTGATGAGGGGTGCCGTATCAAATGAGATTCAGTGATGCTATGGCATATGGTCTCAATCATGGAGGATTGACGACGGTAAGTAGGCCGACCTTTGCTTTCAATTCAGTTTACTTACGACAAGACATACGTACCGAACAATATTCCTTCAGCCAGACAATGCATCTTCCTCCTCCATCTTATCAGGCGCAGTGAACATTTGTTGGTACCAGTGAAGTATAGACCAGTGTCGATTGTCTTTGGTGGGAAAAGCTGACCATGTTCGTTTGCCCGAACCATCCATCCTCCTCTTCTTGCATCTCATTCGTAGATGCGGGAATGCTTTGATGAATTTTTGATCAATCGGTATCGTCCTCCACAAAAGGAATGACCAGTCGAGCTGATTGCTCCCTCATTGCACTCTTATACCTTCTTGTTTGTTCATTCGCCCACACCCTCAACTGAACCGTTCCGTCCTAGATCATCTGCAAACATGCCTTTTGAGCGTTATTTTCTTTTTCTTTGGCGTTCACCTGTTTCAGATACATGTTGGCCAAGCATGGGGCGCGTTGGTGGTTCACGAGTGGTAATTGGTGTCTTGGGTAGTTGTGAGGCTTTTCATGGCTGGCGGGGTCGAATAAGAGACGCGTGTGGTATCATATGTGGGTATGACGAGACCGGCAGTGGCGGCGGGGTGTTCCTTCTCAGCCGTTTGAACAGATGGGGTAGGCAATTTGATCATTCTCTGGGATATCGTCGACACTGGGATTCGGATCACGGTTTTGGCAGTGAACTGACTAGCAGCACGGGGTATATAACTCCAGCACAGGATCGGTGAAAAGGGGTGAGCAAGGCACTTGGGTTCCGGACAAAGAACCCTACCTGCAACCTTTTCACCCCTCTTTCCAAAGCGTTAGTGACGAGACACTTGTGTGGAGCATAATGCGAGGCAAGGCGTCATAAGGCACGTCCCCTCCTCCGCCCCCCCTTCGATCCTTTCCCTAGATCATTTTTCGCCTCTCCTCTTCCCGGACGCTACGCTACGCTACTTACTCGGGTACACACGTCGTCACACCATTAAGACACCCGCCTCATCCCTCCACTACCCATACTGTACTAGCGAGTCTGTTCGTTGATCGATCCACTACCCCAGTCATCAAGCTTTCCGGATAACTTGATCAACGCCCGTATTGGTCATTTGCAAAGAAATTCAACCAACTGGATAGTACAACCACCCGCCCACTTGATGTCGGCTAACTCTCTGGGAAACTGCAGATCGGAGAATGCCCATGTCATTCACCGAACGCGGCACCAATCTACACTACATACTTTTACTGGGCATATCTAGTTGATTACAGGCTTCATATGCAGTAATGATGTTCCGGTGTCAACCAAAATGGTATGCAGAGAGGATTAATCCCCCGGAGGACAAAGGACAGCCTGTGCTTTGCTGCATGAAGCCTGCTTTTGGCATCAAAGCTTACGCGTCTAAAAATCATCCTGGGATACGCTGGCCAAATTCAAAGCTGACTGGCTGTTTTTTCTTCTCTTGCATCCAACTACCACGCGTCTTTTCAAGTCTACGCCTAGGCATTCCCTCTGACGTCGTTCTTCGTGTACAAATTGCCCAGCATCCCGCACGCACCTAGAGACATGAAACCAGCTAACGCCGCCTCCTCGTAAAACAGCGAGCAGCAAAAAAACGCCATTCACAATTTCATCACTTCCCATTCTCTTTCTCTCTCTTGCATCTTGCACGCTAAATAGCCAACGACAACAAAACGCCAAGACTACGGCTGCCCGCATTGCAATCCCCGTGGTACGTACGGTACGTATTCCAGCCAACACGACAATAAAGAAGAAAAGAAGCGAACACGCAGAACGCCCACCGGCCCGCCCTCACCCACCGGCCATTTCCATCTTCAATCTCCGATGGATAGAGTGAACGAGAGGGAGAGAAAAGAGGACTAACGTCCTGCATCTCAGATTCCTAGGCTCAAGCAAGAAAAGTTACTACCAGTAAGGCATCCAACGCCATAAAGTCCGTATTTCCCCACCTCCTTACTATGTCCCCCGTCTCCCCCCTCTTCCCACGAGATAAAATAGGAAAAGAAAATATAGTAGTAGTAAACAAACGGTCGGCAAGTCGGACATTACTCCCACCGTCCTCCGCCACTGCCGTTTGCCCAGCCCAGCGACCATCCGTGCCCTCCCCCCATCTCGACCTCCACTCCTTCCTTTCCTGAAAGACCGAAGATACCATGAATCGTGATTCCTACAAGCAACAAACGGACACGTACGTACATTCGTATCCCAACGCCTCATCTTTTCCCCCGCTACCACTGTCCCAAAAAAGAAGGCACTTAGTAGGGTACATGCGACGAGATAGTATCGGCATGAAGCAGATGTAAGGCATGCCCACCCCAACACCCCAACACCCGGTGCAGATCGCTGCGGTTTTGCCCGCCCCGCGCGCTAGCCGAGACCGCGCGCATGGGGCTTTGGGCGTGTTGGTTGACGGAGTACCGGCGGGAGCAATTTTTTTGGGTGGGTGTCCGAATAGTAGACCCTTTTTTTTTTTTGGGAAAGTGCGGAGAAGGAGTAGGGTAAAGTAGTATCATCACGGCTTTTGGAAATATAACACTACATAGGAACTTTGTTGATTAAAGGAAAATTCTACGTATCCTGTCTTCGATTGGGCAGCAGGCTATCGGGTTGGGATAGTATACACGAAGGCATTACCGGTGAGTGGGTAAACGGTAAGGTATGTGATATGGGGTATTCTACGCGGCGATCGACTCCGGGATATACCTGTTACAGAATGATGGGTTCGGCGGGGGAATGAATCATGAACTGCGTTTATCGGTGGGACCCTCTTTTTTTTTGTCTCCAAGGAAGTGGGAGGTGAGTGTGTGCTACGGATGGAGGGGGGAGCGAAAGTATCTTGGTTCGTGTAGTGTGCATGACACGACGAAGACGTTGGGGTGAGACGTTTTTTCGGGGGTGTACAACCGCTTTCAACGGGTTGTGCGTGCAGTTTGACAATGGTGAGGCGGGGTTCTGGATGGTTGGTGGGTTGGCTTGTTTTTTGCTGGAAAAGTGATGCGGTGCAACGGGCAAGTCGCTTGCGCGCTACGTAGAGTACGGTCTGGTACGACATGGTACAAAAGCCAATATGTGTTGCCATCTCGTTAAATGATATCCTGTATTACACAGCATGGATACAAGATGCTTCATATTCCCTCTTTGGATCCTTCATATTATGGTAAACACTATGTCATTTTTTTATGGCCATCCGTCTTTACTCATGCTTCTGTATACAAGGCTGCGGATACTTCCGCGGATGCTGCAGCGAGATATTGATGGTATCCACGTCGAAGTGACATGCACTCGCATAATGGACAAGCGTGGTATATGCTCAAGAACCAATAGCATTCCCCGAGGATGATCGCAGTGTCGAGGTCGTTGTATTGCTGTCGTCAAAACATCGCATATCCAGCGACGGCATCTAGACATCCACTAAACGTGAAATAAAAATGCCGGCCACGTCACATAGCATACCTATCACCGTTCTCACCATCTTCCATTGCGTCTGTAATCTGGATGAAAACAACTCAGCCCAATCTCCGTACCACTAAGCCCTAGCAGGTCTTCGTATTCGGACGATATCCCAATATACACACATGACTCCAATAACTCAAAATAGGCGTTAGTAGTAAGAACCCGAGTACCAAGAAAAAAAGGGGATGCAGTCAGCAATCCGAAAAACATAATCATCCACCAGCACACAGCGTGTTGAAGACATGAAGTGAGGTGGACATGCACGGACGGGGGAGTGGAGCTGGCCTACAAACCCGCGGATCCCCGCCATGGGCCCGCCGCCGCCGGCATCGCTACTAGCTGCTAGCTAGTCCACCCAGCACTTTTTTTTCGACTGCATTGCGACACCAAGGGCTGTAGAGAGGAGAGACAATCACCGTTGCCGAATTGCACGACTCTCGCGCCTTTTGCCGGGGCCCTTTTGATCCGAATACCAAGAGTTCGCTAGATTGAACGGCGGCCTATCAGCGTGAATGCATGGGGAGCCATGAGCTCGTGTTTTTTGAACAGATCTCTGGTTTGAGGGTACTACTGGGGAAGCATGGTACCGGATCTTGGTGAGCTTACCGGACTACCCACTACATGGCGTTTTTGCGATGATCACATGACTTTGCTCAGTAGTAAGATTCCCAGGGCTATACCGGTACGAGGCGGAAGACCCTCGATGGATGCCGTGGCTCATGTACACCAAGACAATGTCTCGATAACGGAGTCCCGTAGACTGCGGACGTTTAGATGCCACGATCCTTACAGGGCTGTTGCACCAGGGAACACGAGGTTTTCCCCGCTTCCGTCTGGACTATCTGAGAGGGAGAGACGAGGAAATTCAGGTATCGCAATTTACTGTCTACAATCCACTCTCAAACACGACCCACAGTAACCACATTTCTAAGAAAAGCTGTTTCTACTTCCGTATTACAAGAATAGACCTGATTCATAGACAAACAGAGGTACTGGAAACTTTGGTGTTGCACGTAATCGGGGGGAGGCCTAACCCATCATCCAATGAGAAAACGGGCATCTCCCATCTTTCGCACTTCGGCCCCTCCTCCCGGACTTCGCGTGCCCTGAGGCTCAGGCTCTCCTACGGGGACTTGTCATCACGGAACCGCGCGCGGGCGCAGGTACACTCGCAGTTTCAGCCCTAGGACCCACGACCCTTGGGGGCGAGAGCGATGTGCCGGACCCGGGAGGGCAGTGTGAGATGGTGGTGGGGGGAGAAACCAGTAGCTGGGTGATGGAGGGGGAAACAGCGACGGTTCTCTGCAATGGAGAACAGAGGTACCTCATGGCCAGAGGCCATTTTTTTGTTCCGCCTGGAGTTCCGGATGGCGAAATGGGGTATATATGAGGCATTGTTTGACCGTAGACATAGAATATCATCACATCAATCAACAGCTCCTCTCTTCTCTACAGCTTCACTACAAACAAACAATAGACTTTTGTCTTTCATCACCAAATCAACACATTCACAATGGCCAACATCGAGCAAACATGGAGCCTCGCCGGCAAGGTCGCCGTCGTCACCGGCTCAGGTAAGACATTCTTAACAATATTCTAGTACACACCTCCTTCATCATGCTTACAAAATACCTCCAGGCCGCGGTATCGGCAAGGCCATGGCCATTGAGCTCGCCAAGCGCGGTGCCAAAGTTGCCGTCAACTACGCCAACGCCGTCGAGGGCGCCGAGCAAGTCGTCAAGGAGATCAAGGCCCTCGGCAACGGCTCCGACGCCCACGCCTTCAAGGCCAACGTCGGCAACGTCGAGGAGTCGGAGAAGCTCATGGACGACGTCGTCAAGCACTTTGGCAAGCTCGACATTTGCTGCTCAAACTCTGGTGTCGTTTCTTTCGGCCACTTCAAGGATGTCACCCCCGAGGAGTTCGACCGTGTCTTCACCATCAACACTCGTGGCCAGTTCTTCGTAGCAAAGGCTGCCTACAAGCGCATGGAGATGGGTGGCCGTATCATCCTCATGGGTTCCATCACCGGTCAGGCAAAGGGTGTCCCCAAGCACGCCGTCTACTCTGGCTCAAAGGGTGCCATCGAGACTTTCACCAGGTGCATGGCTATCGGTAAGTCGATTCTGCTCATCCTCCCCTAAATTCGGGGGTTTTATCACGTACTAATCATTTTGTTTCAGACGCCGGTGAGAAGAAGGTCACTGTCAACTGCGTTGCCCCCGGTGGCATCAAGACTGACATGTACCACGCCGTGTGCCGCGAGTACATTCCCAACGGTGACCAGCTCTCCGACGACCAGGTCGACGAGTACGCCTGCACATGGTCCCCCCACAACCGTGTTGGCCAGCCAATAGACATTGCCCGTGTCGTCTGCTTCTTGGCTTCCCAGGACGGTGACTGGGTCAACGGAAAGGTCATTGGCATTGACGGTGCTGCTTGCATGTAAGCGGCTTTGGTTAGTGCTAGAGCATGATCTCTCTCTCTTTTTTCCTTTCTAAATGATTTGAGCTGGCATGTATCGGCGTTCTTCTCCATAGAAGAAATGAAACTCTTAATCTCCCATTGCATCTCCACCTTGCCTTGTGACGTGGTCCTGTTTGATTCGTTACATCGAATTATCTCTGCATTCTACTGGGGAAACCAAGTGTCAGTTTAGAAGATCACAACTTCCTTAGTCCGAAAAACTGCCACCTTGAACAAGAGAGATCTATATTCAGACCTAGGTTTTCGACCTATAGGCACTCATTTGCATACTCATACAGTATAGATCTGTACACACACCCATCATATGATCAGTGATATCCCCGCCCACTAGGTGCCTTTACACTCCCACTTGAGAAAGTGGCCTTGTACTTGTTGTCCATGGCCTTCATCCTCTGCTTGCTCTCGATTCCGGTGCGGTCGGTTGTAGGCTGTGCGGCCATGAAGCTATCAAACTCATCATCTTGTGAGTCACCTTCTCCTGGCTCGCTGATGTCCCCGTCTGCAGGAGCTCCATTCTTTGGCAAAGGCTCAGTCACGGGTATACGTTTGGGTGCTTTTTTCTCATCCTCGTCTTCGTCGTCTTCGTCCTTCTTTGTAGGATTAGCGAACGGCTTGGAAGCAAGCACACGGCGCCTCAGTTCTGCCATTTCCTCTTCGTCATCCGAGGACTCTGGAATGTTGTAAGGGTTCCTGGGGTCAATTTTGTTCTCGTCCTCGTCCTCGTCTTCGCCGCTCTCTCCGTCTTCGTCGTCTTCGTCTTCATCCGACTCGTCAATAACACGCCTGTTCATGTTTCCCCCCGCCCACTCATCTTCCTCGGCACCTTCCTCCTTTTCAGTCCTGCTTGTGTTATATTCGCGTTCGATCTTCTCAAGCCATACCTCCTCGGCTTTCTTGATCTGCTCCTCGTTTTCGCACGCCAGGTACCGCTTAAGCAAGGCGGCGTTAATGTCCAAGAATGCCTGGCCATACGAGAAAGTCGACAAGATTGATTCAGCCCACTCGGGGTGACCACAAATGTAAAAGCATGCCGCCAACGCTTCAACGCAATTTAGTCGCCATGGCCGGCCGTAGTTGGTAGGGTTTGCCGCAACAAGGTAAGGAAGTAGGCGTTCGCATTTGCCACCTATCCTGCCAAAAGGCACCTCATCTATCCTGTTCCAGCTCGCTTCCACTACAGCAGCGCCATATTGCTCCAACAATTCCTTGTCCTCGCGACTTATAATCTTCTTTGCCTTTGGGCTCACCACCACACCCGCAAACTTCTGCCCCACATGCAATTCGCGCATCATGCCCAGGCGCATAAGCCTCTTGCCCGAACATCGCTTCGCATCGCAGTGGCCAAGATCCCAGCATGCGGCCTTGAATTCAGGCTTAGCAGGTCTTGGGTTGGCGGCGTCATTCTCCTCTTCGTCTGAGGCGCGGCGCGGGCGAGGGGTAGGGCGTGCTTTGGCGGGGTTCTTGAACTTATTGTTGCCCTTGAAGTCTTTCTTATGGCGAACCATCTTGTCTTGTGAGAGTTTGATATTCGAGGTAGAGTGGCGAGTCTGATTTGCGGCGAGTGAGTCGACAATGTCGGAGGGGCAAGGGTGTGGAATAACTTTGTAATCGATAAGTGGCGCTAGCGTTGTGACGTCGTTCACACTTGTCGATGACCTACAGAGTACCACGCAACTAACAAAAAAGGATATTATGAGCTGAAGGATATCTTTTTAGAGCAAGCCAAACTTCGTCTTCACCGTCCCCACCGTCAAAGCCCAGTTAAGCGCCCTTCGCAAAGCAACAACGCATCTTTTCTATCACAATGGCTATGGAACTCCAAGGCTCGTAATCTCACCCATCTCGTTTTTCTGCTGTCCTCCAAGCGAGTACGAAGCCTTCCACCTCATCTTCACATTGTTACCCGAACCTCTTTGGACATTGTTCACGCGTATGTTTTGTGTGATGCCGAATTTCTGATTGGGCCCGAGATTGACGCCTGATTGGGGTTCAAGCTGGAGTTGTGCACCCTACAATTTGTTAGCAAACTACACAAAGTCAGTGCTCATGGTTCAAACTTACCTTTGAGGCAGCCACTTGGAACGTCAAGCTAGAGACTGGCAAAGAAGTGTTGTTGGATATCCGTGACTGGATCAGCAAAACTGTATCTGTTTCTCTCGAAATGTTGAAAAGAACGTTGATGCTTGTGTTAGTGACGGTCAATTCCTTCGAGGTATCAGGTACAGATGAAGCAAAATCCCATTCATCGTCGTCATTAGCAGCATCAGTGCTTTGTGCGAGGTTTGCTGCCGGCGCGGCGGCGACGCCAACGCCTAGTAAATCAACGGCACCAGAAGCAACAGCTGGTGGCTTAACTGATTGTTGATACTGGAAGGGTGAGGCTTGTCGAGGGGTAGAGGCGAGAGCAGCAAATGGGTCTGGTGTGCGAGCCGGCTGTGGGGGAGGCGTTGAAAAGGAAGATGGAGGGGGCGATGCGACTTGCGGTTGAGTTGACTTTGGTCCTGCATTGAAGAGATCGGTTATGGCTTGGTTGGTTGCCTTTTGCGGCGCCGCCATGCCAGACAGACCAAGAACTAAGAAATGTTAGTAATTAACCGAGAATTCGAATAGATCTGCTTACCTGAGCCATTTGAACCACCCAAAGCTATGCTACCCGACTGTCCGTAGGTCTCTCCGCTCAACGACAGGCCCAACAAATCATCTTCAAGTGCGTTTCCTACAGCTGGTGCTTGTTGCTGAGCCTGTGATGATCCTCCTGCTTGCGGTGTAGGTTCCGGATCTCCAAAATCAATCAGGTTTAATGTGTTGTTGGGGCCTTGAGATACTCCAGCACCACTGCGACCAAGCGTTCCCTGAGGGATGTTGTTGGCAGCCTCGATGTCTCCCTTCTTGAAAAGCTTGTATCTCTGTATCGTCCGGTGTATACTGTCGTTGATCTCAAATAGTTTCGCCACGGCCTCGTGATCCTCAGAGTCCTCCTCGCACATCTTCTGGATTTTAGGTTGCGCATTCTGAAGGGCATTGGCCAGCTCCTGTCGCGGGTTAGTCAAACAACAGCCGCCGTACACCACCATCGTTCCGGACATACTTCAAAAACATCTCCCTCTTTGATCTGATCGCCCGGCTTGTAACCTTGCAGCATTTCCTCCAGGATTCTGGCCTTTTGTTGTATCTTGCCAACCTCTTCAGCAGCCTTTGCCCGCCAATCGGTCTTGTTTCGGGTATCGTATCCAGCCATGACTTTCATAAGCTTATTGGCTTCCTGCAGGTCTGCAGGTCCACCCCGACGGATCAATTCTTGCAGTTTTGCGGATTGCGCCTCTCGTTCTTCTTCTGCCATCTCTTCTGCCGACCGGAGGTTCTACGCATCGTCAGCAATACGAGACTATCACAAGCAATTTCATGCACATACATCGCTCGGATTGAGCACTGCGGCATCTTCTTTGCGAACTTCCGGGAAGATATATCCCTTATAACTCAGCAGTCTATGCATATCCCTTATAAAGCCCAAGTCGTCCTTGTAGCGCGATGTCTGGCATATGGTTTGCCGCCATTCTTCTATGAGCTCGAGAATCTTGTTCTGTACTCGCGACGAGTGAATAGGCGGACGTTCAGGAAAGCGGCGGACAAGCTCGTTAAGGAATTCTTTGGTACTGATCTGGAGGTGGAAAGGGTAGCCGCAATTCTTGACACATATGTCGAGGAGCTGTGTTATGGTGAGCTATGCTGTTTCAAGGCGGGGCATCATAGGCATACGTTGAGCGCGAGGAGGGCGACATTCTGATTGCGGTGATTGACATAGTGTACAATTGTGACGGCCGCTTCTCGGGGCCTGGGGAGTCATTAGGATTGTGCATGTGTAGTGGTGGGGTGTTTCCGATCCTACGCTGTGCCTTTCTTACTGTTGATCAGGTCGGTGATCTCGAGATTCAGGGCCAGATTGGGCTCAAAGTTTTGCGGATCACATGCTTGCACTACGCCACTTGTATCAGCATCATTCCACATAGGTGCGGCATGTGTTGCGTACATATATAGCGCTGCAGTTGTGAAGTCGGTGCCTCTCCGTATATGCCGTAGCGATCGCGGGTTGCCATGCGCGCAGACGCTGCCTCCATTGCGCCGCGGGGCAAGTTTAAGAACGAGACGTCGAGTGAATAGCGACAGGTGATTCGGAGACTCAGGTGTGTTCGGACGCGTCTGCGATATCTGGTGGAATCGATATCGTGTACACAGAGATTTGGTGGGGACGGGGACAGCAGCAGCTCCACAGCATGTAGAGAACAGCCTTGGCGCCGCAGCTACGTAATGCGCTTGCATCTCACATGTGGCTTGGAGTTTGTCGGCTGCTTATGTACACAGTTGCATATCTTCATGAAAGACAAATTTACTTCTACTTTCTTTCCACTGACAACATATATTTTGGAGCCTACAAATGCCGAGGCCATCTTCACATCATTGCATTGGTCGCTTAGACGGTCCAGTAGTCCTTGACCAAGTACGCCGCATATCCAGCGAGCCCAGCTAATATCACCTGAGTGCCGACGAAACCAAGCGGTCTTCCGGGACCTTTTCCGCTGGGCGCCCTCAGGCCAAGCTCAACATGGCCAACACGGAGAGCAAAAAGAGCGCCAAGAGCGTAGCTGAGGTAAGTCCTAGCACTTTGGTTAGATCCAACATAATCATGCATCGGCGTGGTACAATTACCTGTTGGCTCCGTTGAGCTCAGCAAGGAGTGCAATCGAGAGTATGAATGGTACGTTTTCGACAAAGTTGGCTTGCGCACGTGTGTCCACAAAGAGAGGGTCCGGTGCGCCTTGAGGTGCGCCCGACTTATCACCCAAAACACTTTCAACAAGATTAGTCTACAAGCAATCTTTATACATCATTCAGCTCTGGCTTACGTCTTTGTGCCAAATCGCTTTGCTACAATGCGCTGTTGGAGGAAAAGGTAGTAGGCCGCGAAGGGAGCTGCCCAAGTGGCAGTAACAGGAGCAAGGAGCGGCATTGGCACGCTGAGACCGACCTTAGTTGCCATTTTGGAAAGAGGAACAGATATGCAAACAGTAAACCATCAAGGACAGGTGCGAGAGAGAGCAGCTTTATAAACTAGTGGAGTGTTAAAGTGGATAGGGCATAGTAGGTCCGAAACAAATGCGGTTCGGGACCCATGCCGTCACGGACAAGTTTAGCGCATTGTACAGGTATGAACCTAGCAAATCGGCATTAAAATATCTCGGTTGCATGAGAGATAGAGATGAGATAGGTATGCCAAGACCACGGTATAGTACAAAGAGGCAAAGCTGGCGTTGATACTGTCCGGCCGGTCGGTGAATATTTACACCTTGGCACCGAGTCTAAAAAAAAATCAAATTTCCGGATACGTTCGAGAACAAAGTCCCTCGGCGGATGTTGGGGAATATAATGATACATTTTGGAGTGTGGAGGTTGTTGAAAAGCAAAAGGAGAAATGCTACCACGAAAGACTACTGCACGTTCCAATCCTCATCGACTCTGAAGTTTCAATCAGATTATACTTTGGACTTGAATAGGTCAACACTTACAGGCTTCATATGCTCAGCATCGTTCTCTTTGTTGTCTTCGCGCACTTCTTTAAGCATCTTGTCAATGCCTCGTTCATTGAGTGCTCTCTAATAGACTATGTCAGCTGCAGTGCAGTTCATCTTGGGCACATGTACGGACAGAAAGACATTTTTCATACTGCTCAAAGATTGGTTTGCAGTCATCAGTTGTAGCGGTGCCACGCAGAAATTCTGTGCAGATGTTAATTAGGGCCAGTTCCCAGTCGCAATAGACGTGTGACGTACTCTCGCTGTACCACTTTAGGAAGCAGTTGTCGTAGCGCCTATAAAATGTCAGCATAATGGCTGCAGCACCACGATGAGATGCAATAATCACTCTTTGACTTGGTTGCATTCTGGTGCTAATGAGGCCGACATGTTTTTGTAGTATGCTTGTGAGATGGGTGGGCCGGAGCAGTTTGCGGAGGACCGAGTGAAGGTTGCAGCTACTGCCATGGCTATCGATAAGCAAAGCGCGCTAACTCTGAAATCATTTGAAGGTTTCTTTCATCAAACCATTTGCGACACGCGCACCCTTTCCACGCCAACCCATCGCGCCACGTCGAAGTGAGCCGCCCCCAGAGCCCACGCTATCGAGAACCGTCCAGAAGAATGAACGCATACTGAGAGACGCCATGGACTCTTTTAAAACACTGCAGACAGAGATCTCGGCCGCGCTCAAACCAACCACCAGGTCTGCTGCTGCCATTGGCAAAGCAGACATCCCTTTCCAGAGGTCGCTGAACCCCGATGCTGGCACCCAGTTGGACGCCCAAAATGCGCGCCTCCTTCACCTCGCGCAGCGCCTTCTCCAGAATGCTGCTGCGAGCTCGGACGCTGTAGGTCCCAAGCTACCCGATGTCGAAGCCATAGACGCCAATTGGAGGGGGGTTGTTGATGTCATCGACAGCTTGCTTGAGAAGGCCGACACCAGTCTGGATGAGTACACCGGCGTGGTCAAGCGGTTGAGCCCAGCTGGCGAACAGGTAGGATCTCCAGCCATGTGTGCCCAAAGCAAGGCCCATCGTCTGACCCGTGTACAGGCCGCTGCAAAGCCCCGCCCCAACATTGCCGACAGGAAGATCATTCCAAAGCCACAGCTCCAGTTTGAGCACGTGCCGACCAACGACGAGACTGGTGGCTTCCGCCCACTGGTCACATCCAAACCACACGCAAAGATTCCCTTGGAAGAATGTCTAAAGACATTCAGGGACAAGCGCGGACGGGAACAGTAGGACAAAAGCACCATGTCAATTCCATACGCTAACATCCGTTGCAGATACCCGCATCCCTACCAAACAGAAATCGAAGAGTACGAATACCCAGCAAATGTCTACGAATACGCCGAGCCGCAGCAATATAAGCCTTTTGAATCTACAACTGCAACCCTAGTCGACACGCCTGAAGCGCTGGCTACCATGCTCTCTGAGCTAAAGACAGCAAAGGAAATCGCCGTAGATCTTGAACACCATGACAATCGCTCCTATATTGGCATGGTTTCGTTGATGCAGATAAGTACTCGCGACAAGGACTGGATAGTGGATACACTGAAACCCTGGCGGCGGAAGTTGGAGTGCTTGAATGAAGTCTTTGCGGATCCCAGCATTCTCAAAGTTTTGCATGGTGCTTACATGGATATCATGTGGCTGCAGCGCGATCTAGGACTCTACGTTGTTGGCCTCTTCGATACGTACCATGCTGCCCGAGCACTGGGCTACCCTGGCGCCAGTCTAGCCTACCTGCTCGAGAGACATGTCAAGTTCACAGCCCAGAAACAGTACCAACTTGCAGATTGGCGCATAAGACCGCTCAGTCCGGAGCTCTTCGAATACGCACGCGCAGATACTCATTTCCTTCTCTACATCTACGACAATATGCGCAATGAGCTGATTGAGAAGTCTGACTTTTCGAATCCCGACAAAAACAAGGTCCAGGATGTACTTGAAAAATCTAAGGAGACATCGTTACAGCGCTATGAACACCCTATCTACGACAGCGAAACAGGACTCGGATCCAGTGGCTGGTATAAGCTTATCTCGCGAACCCCGGTTCAATTCACTCCTGAGCAATTTGCCATCTTCCGAGCGGTGCATAGATGGAGGGACGATCTTGGAAGGAAAGAAGATGAGAGCCCGCTATTTATCATGCCAAATCACGCCGTATTTTCCGTAGCCCGCGCAATGCCAGCAGACAAGGCCGCACTCTTCAACGCCATACAACACGTTTCACACATTATCCGATCACATGCAGAAGAGCTTGTTGGTGTGGTTGCAGAGGCCAAGAAAGAAGGTCTACATGGGCCAGAATTGCACACAACACTTCAGACTATTGAAGACATGCTAAAAGCAGAAAGAGCTGGATCAGAAACTGCAGTAGAAATAGCGAAGAAGGATCCAGCCCCAGTTGGCCAAACCACGTCACTAGCTCGAGGGATCCATACCTCTGCTGCTCGGGCTCCAGGCTCAGAATTCTGGGGCAAGCTGTGGAAAAAGGACGAGGCCTCGCAGCCAACGCAAAATCTCTCTACAATCGATATTGACCTTGCCCTTCCCCTGCCACCTCTGACAGCACAAGTCTTTGCCGACGCAAACGGAACCGCTGCATCTACACCAAAGGCCGAGAAACCGCAACACACTTTTGTGCCAAAGGAGATGAGACCGGCGGAAGATCAACGAACCGACACCTTTGTTGTGAAGCACCTAGGCGGAGGAAAGAAACGAAAGCGAGGTGACGCTCAAGAGGAAGCATCTTCTGTACAGTCTCTCGATCCAATGACGCGGGACGAGATTATGCTGGACGCCCCTGAAGAAAGCCCAGAGGCCATACAAGCCCGAGAAAAGGCGGCGAGGAAAGCTGCACGGAAACAAAAGAAGAAGGAGGAAGCAGCCGCCCAAGCTGCAGCGCGGAATGGTGATGAGGGTGTTTTCGACTACGCAAATGCCAAGTCGGTGTTGCATGCCGAAGATGAGGACCCGAAAGCGAAGAAGAAGGACAAGAAAGACAAGAAGAAGAAGAAGACAGGGTTCACAGCATTTGCAGGCATGGCGGATGCGCCCAAGGGATTGCCGAGGGCGCAAAAGGAGGTTGCGGGCCGGAGCAAAACGTTCAAATCTTGAGCGTTCGGGTAGTGTTATGCTGTGTGATTATTTAGCCTTCTTTTCCCCTCTTCTTGTTTTTAGGTCCAAGAGATGGCCTTTTTGCGTTTGTTGTGCTTTCTTGTACACATACCTACATGGTGTATACCAACCAGGAGACATCTTAATACTGTGAGCGTGCAGAACCACACCAATAGAAATAGATGCATTGAAGATATCATCTCATAGAGACAATATGTTAAATATCAATGTTCTATCTTTTGCTGTATTTTACTCGACTTCCCCATCGCCATATCACCAATCATCCAGATCTAAATCACTCTGTCCAAAAAAAACATCCATGTTATCAAACCACCTTCCCATGTAGCCCACGATAGAACATGCCAAAATTACCATTCCCAGTTTGGCCCCCCTCCCCACTTGCACTACTAACATTGTCCAATACAGCAAACACAACCTCTTTCCACCACCCACCCTGAAACTCAACCTCATCAAACACCTCCGCAAAACACTTTGCCACGTCTTCAGCCGGGTTAGCAAAAACACCGCAGCCCAGCGCTCCCAGCACCAGCCTACTATGTCCATTCCGGGCCGCTGTGCGGAGTACAAGTCTAATCTTCCTCTTCGTAGCCGCCCTAGCACCCAAATGCTTAAAAGTCGCTTTGTCGTCCGATAACGCGGGCTTCCGCAGCGCAGCAGCACTAACAACCGATACCGCCGGTAGACTCGACGCATCTTGCAGCTGCGCAGTGGGGAAAAGGGCGTGTCCGTTTGGCATGGAATTGCGGAAGAGGACGACGTTTGGGGTGTAGATTGCAGAGAGGGTGGGGAGAGGGTAGAAAGAGCGGGAGAGGGAGAGCGAGAGCGAGGAGCGGTAGCAGAGGCATTCTTCTTGGGCTAGGGCGCCTTTTTGCCAGCCGCCACCCGGGGAGCGCTCAGAGGCTAGGTTGAGGACGAGGACGGAGGTGGAGACGGGTGCTTGGGGGGTTGGTGGTGAGGAAGTCAAGTGCTTTTGGACGGTATAAGTTGGATCTAGGTGCAGGGCTGCGTCGAAGGAATCCATGTCTAGGACTTTTATGCTTGCTTTGGACTTGAAACCGGGACAGTCGGTGGGAGAGAGAGCGTCTGTGTCTTCGAGCTTGGTAAGGGAAGATTTGGTGGCGTCGAAGTTGGGAATGTTTGCTAGGATGTCTGGGAGGACGGCCTTGGTTTCGTCTGCGACCTTTGCGAGATCTATGTTGCGTCGGTGATTGGGACCGCGGTGTTTACTGTTGTAGTGCTTTTTGCCTTTGGAATGGTTTTTTTTGTGGGAGTCTGAGTTGGAGTTGTCTTGATAAGGATGACCTGAGCGTGAGTTCTGTGGTCGTGGGGAGCGTTGGGGAGCTCTTGATTTAGTCAAGAATGAAAGGATGGATTGTTGCTCCATAATGTCGACTATTTGAAGGTGAGAGGGCAATACTAAAACTCCAAAAGTGTTGCATGCACGATGAAAAGTGAAAGAGTTCTAGGCCAGAGAGAGAGGTGATGAGAAGTGATTACAGACAACTATCAGGCAACAGCTCAGGCGGACGCGACATAAGCTAGTCCGTTTACGTATGGCTAGGATATCTAAGCTGGCAGAATTAAGGGAGTAGATTATATATCAAGTCTCTACACATCCACAAACACCAAAAGATACATGAGCGGTGATAGACGGCGGGTCCGGTGTGCATTCGATAGCCACGCGATAGTTGGACGCAGGACAGGGTTGCCTCAGCCCTACGAGCAGGGCTCGTGCACAGGCCCCACATTCGCGTAGCCAACAGCGAGATCATGTGGGAATTGGACTCGCCTTCTTTCGCCCCGACAACCACAATAACAACACCAACAAGACAAAGAGTACTTTTGCCCTCCATACCAATAGTATCCATGTAACTCTGGACTCCTTCCACCGGCGAAATGCCTACACAACTGGCGCACCCATCTCCCAAGCGCAAACGCGACCAGCCCGCGCCCATCCCTTTACTCAACACGGCCTTGGCCCTGCGTCCAGCACTGGAATCACGCCCACGAAACACTCCGGCCCCGTCGTCTGGCGGTGATAGCCCACAAAATGCCGTCGCCGACCAGCTGCGAGACATGACCCTGACAGCACTTGCGGCGATACCACTATCCCCGCTCACCCCCACCGACGATGTCCTACGCAAGAGGCCGAAGCTCGATGCCACCAGAGTCGACAGTATTGTCGGACCAAGCACTGAGTTTGTGCAAGAGACGCCTACCAAATACAACAAAAACAATAGAGATTCTTTTGGTATTGGCACTGGCACGCCCGTGGCCGAGTCCTCTAGGGTAATACCAGAGACCCCTCAGTCATCCCAGCCCCGCTTGTTGCCAGATATCGCCTCTTTTGCGCAACCCACCATCTTCGCCTCATCACCTGCAAGCAAACCCGCGCAACCACAAGCATCTGCAGACCATGAGCTCAACGCGCAGCATGACTCTCCGTCACGTTCTCATCCACGAAAGAGATCGCCGACGCCCCCACCGTCGACCCTGACGTGGCAGGACAGCGAGATCACGGGGCACCTTGTTGACCCGTCAACCGACCCCGACGATGACGGCACCGGCATCAACGGTATCGGATTCAAACCTACACCTGCTCTGGCCTATGCTCGGTCGCAAAAGCGACGACAACAGCTGAACGAATGGAAATTAAGAGAGACTAGAGAAGCAAGAGCCAGGCGTAGCGAAAGACGCCTCAGAGGCGTTAGAGCCACGCCATCGAGAGAGGGCACAGTCGAGCGCGAAGTAATGTCCATGAAGAAAGTAGAGACGAGGCGGACAGTCAAGTTTGCCATATGATGACGGGACGAGGAAGTAATGTAATGACCGATAAATGTGCAGGCTCGAGGCAGACAGCTGCCTGGGTGATGACCATCTCACGATATTTATGATGAGCGATGCACAAGTACAGGTTGGATTAACGGCGCCAGGTGTTTGAATGGTTATTATTCTATCGGCATATCTCATACGGGGCTTTGTTTTTGAATTTGTTTCATTGTTAGATTCCTCTCAAATCAGCTCTCCAATATTCATTCGGTACGCTATCCTTTGTGTGCTCTCCAAAATGGCGCGGAGTTAGTAGTAGCTCCCCATGCCTAACTCCACTCCGCCTGCAGGGAATCCAAACGCGCACGTGAAAGCGCGCACCCTGTTGGACCAACTTTGGCACGTCTCAATGTACGTGTTCATTACGTTGCATGGAGATAAACATGGCCGAAGCAGTCCAGACGAGCCTTCACCCAAGACGTTTCAAAAAATGCCCTAATAGTGTTACAATAGAGTTGCTACGGGTGATGCATCATCGCTGCTGACAGTAGCTGATCCCTGCTCCCCCGGCCTCGTCATTGCTCTCGACAGTTCAGCTTACCTGGATACCACAATGACCTGTGGGCATACCTGAAGCGCCTTACTCTTCTAGCTCCCTGAGAAATATCCTTAGCTGATTCATCATCTCTACTTCTTACCGAAGTACGAGATCAATACGATGCGGTTCTTGCGCGTTGCTCCACTGCTGCCGGTCGCAGCCGCTCTCACCACCAGCGATGCGCATCCTCACCCAAAGCAGGTTGCCATTATAGGTATGCTGTGCACTCAAACGAAAGCTATCCAGAGCTGACTCGGAACAGGTGCTGGAGCAGCTGGCTCATCCGCTGCCTACCATCTTGCCCAATACGCCGCCCAGGAGAAGATACCTACAAACATTACCGTATTCGAGCGCAACGGTTATGTTGGTGGTCGCACCACGACTGTCCATCCGTGGGATGACAAGACTGTTTCCATCGAGCTTGGAGGTTCCATCTTTGTACAAATCAACCAAATAATGGTCAAGGCCATGGAAGACTTCAACCTTTCTACAAATGTGCGGAATTTCGCGGAGCAACTCGACCTACCAGACCTCGGTGTTTGGAACGGCAAGGAATTCGTTGTAATCGTGCACTCGGGAGATAGTTGGTGGAGCCTTGGGAAGATGCTCTGGAGATATGGCACTGCACCAATTTGGACCAACAGGCTGATGAAAAGTGTCGTCGGCAAGTTCTTGACGATGTACGACGAGCCGGTATTTCCGTGGAAGAGTCTCAGTGCTACCGTTGAGATTGTAGGTCTGCTGGAGGTCACGGGAGTCACGGGCGAACAATACCTCAAGACGAATGGGATTGGAGAAGCCTTCTCGAACGAAATCATCCAGGCCAGCACTCGCGTCAACTACGCCTCCAACCTTCCATACATTCATGGCTTGGAGACAATGGTATGCATGGCTACCAACGGAGCCATGCAAATCGCAGGTGGAAACTGGCAGATTTTCGCTCACATGCTCAAGACTTCCGGCGCAAACGTCCATCTTAACACATCTGTCAGCCACATCTCAAAGCAGGCCGACGGCAGTTACAAGATTACTACTAGTGGAGGTGAAACATCTTCTTTTGACGAGGTTATTCTCGCATCGCCTCTACAATATTCAGACCTTGTTATCGACCCCGCGCCAAAGCACATTCCTGATGAGATTCCATACACGAAGTTATATACAACGCTCTTTGCGACACCATTTCAACTCAGTCAAGCGGCTTTCAATCTGGATGTCAAGTCGCCCGTACCAACAGCCATCCTCACCACCCTACCACCATCCGAAAAAGCTGTAGACGGGGCAGGCTCTCCCAATTTCTACAGCATCTCGATCACTGGCACCGGCGTTAACAAGCGAGCATCGCCAGCCCGACACGAATACATCTACAAGATCTTTTCTCCATCCCCTGTCAACGCTACCTTTCTCTCCCACATCCTCGGCGCAGAGGTCTCGGAAGAGGAAGCCAAGCACGGCGAAGCCAATGGAAATGTTAGCTGGATCCACCACAAGCTTTGGCATTCGTATCCTCGAGAATACCCACGTGTCACTTTTGAAGAAATTGAGCTCGACGATGGACTTTGGTATACTAGTGGCATTGAGAGCTTCATTAGCACCATGGAAACTAGTGCTTTGAGTGGCAAGAATGTTGCTAAGCTGATTGCGAATGGATGGGCGACTGGCTCGGAGACGAACCAAGAGGAAGTGTACCAGGCAGAGTTGTAAAAAAATGAGATTCAGGAAGATTGCTAGCGTTTTTTTGCACAATGAAGAATGTTAATGTTGGTGCATGTGACTTGTTTTTTTATGCAAGACTAAGATACAAGACCATGACTTGGACACAACTGAAAAGCGAAGGAAAAGACGATTCATTATTTCATCCATTATTTCCCGCAATGCAAAAAGCTCGTGAAAATAAAACAAACAAAAACCACTCATCCATGTATCCTACCATTTCTTACTCCGCCGCCTCCTTCATCCTCAACTTGACTCCATCAGGACACATTGTCAAACTCAACTTGTGCTTGATGATACCCTCTCCTCCCTTCTCCACGGGATCCCACAGGTTACCCGCACTCTCAATCCGCTCAAACTTCTGCGTTAGCCTCACAATCGTATACGCAGCCTCGACCAGCGCGAATTGCTGGCCGATGCAAATTCTCGGGCCACCGTTGAATGGCAGGTACTCCCATCCGGCTTTCCTGCCGTCCCACCGCTCAGGCCGATACTTGTCTGCGTCCGGGCCCCAGAGGTCTTTGCGGCGATGCATAACGTACACGCTATACTCTACGTTGGTATCCTTTTGCACGAAGATCGGAGCTGTGCCGTCGGGGCCGCCGCCCGTGGGGATCGTAGTGTCGCAGAGGGCGCGGCGGCCGTCGATGGGGACGACGGGGTAGAGGCGCAGAGTCTCGTTTATGACCCATTGGAGGTAAGTGCAGGATTTGAGGGCTTCGAAGGTGAGGTTTTGGGGCGACGAGTAGGTGCCGAAGGTTGAGAGGACGACGGAGCGTAGGTGCTGGAAGACGTGGGGGTGCTGGGCGAAGCACATGAAGATGTAGGAGAGGAGGGAGGCGGTGGTGTCGCGGCCGGCGAGGAGGATGGAAATGAGATGGGTGCGGAGTTCGACGGGGTCGCGGGTGGATTCTACGAGGGCGTCGAGGAAGATGTATTTTTGTTTCTTGTCCGACGAGGAGGATTGGGGCCGCGATTTGTCTTTGGAGAGGGCGAGTTGCACGTAGTGGTCGATGAAGCTGTGGCAGCGTTGGATGTGCGACCTGTCGCTGCTGAAGACGAGCCAGGAGGCATCGCCGAAGCGGGTGGCCGTGGAGATTTGGGCTTGGGCTCTGTCGAAGGCTACGCCGAAGTCTTGCTCGCTGACTGCGAGGGGGATACGGGTGGATTTGTAGCCTGGGAGGGCGGAGAGCTGCGAGTCGACGCTTTCGCCGAAGAGGAATTCAGTGGCCGAGTCGATGGTTAGGCGGAAGAAGAGAGGCTCGATGTCGGTGACGTCAGTCCAGCCGTTGGCATTTTTGGGGATTGCTTGGAGGAGGTGCTGGACGTGTTGTTCTTCGAGCTCTAGGTCACTGACTTGGTCCCGAGCGAATTGAGGTCGGAGCAGGGCTCTTGCACCTGCCCATTGCTCGCCATCTGTAGAGAACTGTATTTACTATTAGTAATCTGGATATTCCATTGAATTGATTAAACAAGTTCGCCACTTACAATGCCGTGACCGAGTAGGGGGGAGAAGTTCCTGTTTCGGACAACTCCAAGTCCAAAGTCCTTGAACTGGGTTGCCAGGATGGCTTGAATGTTCTTTGGTTCGATAGTGAAATAGTTCTCGCCGCCCATGACGTTCTGATGAAACGTAGTAATTTCCCTGCCCGCCTTGGCACATGCTCGCTTGTGGCGCTCTTCCATCCATTGAGGAATAAGAGAGTTCTTGTCCGCCTGGATCAAAATCGCAATGTTGTGTAACCCAAGAGGGTCAAACGGCACCAGCTCCAATGGAGGGGCGGGTAGGCAGCCCAACTGGCGGGCCGTGGTGGCACGCTTACGGGAAAGAATGATGGAACATGCGATCTTGTATAGTACAAAAGAGATGCCGGCCCAAAGGGCGAGCAGAACAGAGTTGTGCATTTTGTTTGTCAGTGATTATCGAGAATAATGAGGACGATACTGCCTGCCTGTCCGTAGTACTTATATTTTTTTGCGGGGAGTTGAGGCAAGACAGGTCGACTAAGCATAAAAGGCTATTTGGCACGCTCCACGGCATCCCGTCCCTTAGTTTTGCAGGGATCCTTCTCCACTTGGACAAGTTCAACGGCTGTTAGAGAAAGGCTCGTCGACGGCATCCTGGCCCATGCAGCGGCACGCCTGTTCCTGTTCCCCTTTAGCACTTCGGCATTCTTGTTCATTGACATGCCGACGGGCCCGATAGCATCTGACATATCCGACTCCGCACAGTAATCATGGATAGTACCCTGCTCATCTGCTTGGCGTATCCGGTGAACTGCTCTCTTGCTGTTGGTATGATAATCGGATGAACTTACCCAGGTCTCTAGACATGAAAGCAGTCTTGGGTTGTTCTCTTCACCAAGCGGTTCCGCACATGGCATCGTGAATTGTCAATTGCGAGTCAGAACCAAAATAATTCCTTTTTTTGTTTTCCCCACTCTAAGTTCTCCCTATACGTACATGTGCATTCTAGGCATCCACGCTCTTCCACGGACCAGAGTCGTGCGCCACCTTACTAGTAATGCGCATTCGATACGCTGCCGTGGATCCAGGTTCAATTTGTTGCAGTATGTTGGCGTTTAAGTTGCCAAGGAACCCGAAAGTCCGGGCCCGGCGATCCCTGATCTCATAGGTACAGCAAAAGTTGCGCGTTCTGTAGCGTGATGATGGCGCAGCCGGACTTTTGTAATCAAAGGGTACGCTAGGCGTTTAGACTACCTGTATGAAAGCTTAGGCGGCTCGATGTCGTAGATTAGTCGGCTCGGTAACCCCGTTGAGATCGTGGTGTTGACGCATGGTTTCTGCAGGGCGGATTTTCTCGTACGAAGTAAGCAACCCGGCCAGAGCAGTAAGTAAATGTGTCTTGACGAAGACTTAGTCGAGGTTCATTCATGTGGAGAGAGCCCATTGTATTTGCATTTGTGATGTTGCTGTCCACCTCAGCCGCATGATCCAATAGTTCCAGCTCTCGAAAAACATTCCGAGCCAGTGGATAGCGTCTCACGCTTATCTTACTGGACGGCGCGGTAAGGCCTACCATTGGCCTCCACTATTCCAACACTTCGGCGGCGTACATACGTATATGTAGGTACGTATCTACGTATGCTTGTTCGTTGCAAAGTTTGGATACTTGCTGTCTTTTCTTCGTGAGTAGCTGGTAGCCATCCGTGTACCTTTTGTTGTTTTTTGCACATGCTGGCAACATCTCATACCGATTGGGCCGATTTCAGGTATCAATTGTTGTTGGGGTTACCAAGCATCAAGAATGGCACGAGTCTGCTCAACTGGTCATGACTAGCACATTTGCATTGCCGACTGTGAATCCCCTTGCATTACCACAGGTCGTATCCAATTAGCATCGTAGGCGCGGTTGAGGAGTAACAGGGTAGAATGCGTGACAAGAGCTGCATCGCTTGCCGATGCTCATGTCACCTCCAACTACCTAATGGACCGAATGCCAGGGTTTGGATGCGACCCTTCGCTTAGTATCGCAAGGATAGTGCTCGCATCATTGGAGATCTTGGTGGGGGTGCGACAATCATCATGAATCGGTGGCTCTTAGCCCGACAGAATACCGGATTAAAGCAGCCCCCATCAAAATGAAGCTCCCCTTTGCCATCCACCCTATTCACTACGACGTAGTAAAAAAGGATAAGCTGTACAAAAAAAATTCTAGAGTTTTACGCATAGACTTATATGCCATAGAAAAAGATTGTAACATTCTACACTACTAGTGTGCAGTTACATGTTGTTGATATTGCGCTGTTTTGGTGGGCGTAGTTTTTATTCATATTTCGTCGAACGAAGAGTCAGAGGATTGGTGGGTATAGGAAGACATGACTAATGGAGCAGCTGGAGCATGGCGCCGTCTACTTATCTTCTGGCATATCTTTCTATACCACATTCACATTGACGACGCTAATAATCTTTGACGTTTCGATTACGCAGCAATAAATTCCGTGGAAACATAATCGACTATACAGTTAGGTTCCAGCGTCGAGGCTTAAGCAGGAGAGAGATGAGGTTTAAGTACATCACCCTCCATTCACTAAGCTGCCATCTGGTGATTAGAAATAGCCAGTGATGAATAACAATGACCCTTCTTTTGAAGATTAATGAACAATATCACATGGCGCAGTTGCCTTCTTCGGATGCTACTGCCTCCGAGCACGACTGGCTGATGTGGCACACTCATCATGGCCACTAGCACCATCACCACCATCATCATCAGCACCAAAATGGCACTATGGTGAAAATAGGTTCCAAGCAGACGAAGCACTGTGGGGATTGCTCAGCATAGTGTTATCTTGTCAGAGGCTCAGCCACAGGTGACCAAGTAACTGGCGTCATCTATTTCAGCCGCATCACCAAGGCCTGCCACTTCACTCATCGGCGCAGCACCTGACGATTCCAGGAATAACTTGGACCCGAAAAAGAAATTGGTGCCCAGCAAGATGCTGTCTCTCGAGTTCAAACTCGTTGCTGACCTGGCTCGCCGCAGAATGGTCAAGGATGAGGCTGTGCTCATCCACCTTAGCGAAATTGCAACATCAACAATAGTATCCAGCTTACCTTCCTCCGGTAAAAACAGCATCCGGGGGCTAAGTGTAGGACATGAATAGAATGCTGATTTTGTGATACTTTGAGGCAGACGAGTATATATGTGGGCGAGAATGTGCTGTGAATCAATCTATCATCACATCAACAAGCATTCACACATCTACCTTCCTGCTTATTAAAACTCCCACATCAAGTTCTATACATATATCCAAATCTCCAAAAAAACCCAACTCCAAATAAAGAAATCACCATGTTCTCTTTCTCTTCCACCATGGTCTTCACGACCACTCTTCTCTCTACCCTCACCAACGCCATCGCCATTCCCCCCTCTACCATCAACCCCACAGGCGTAATCCACCGCATTACCGCCGGCTCCACAACCGCCAACTCTGGCCTGCACTTCGAGCCCGAAAACGTCGTCGCCCTCCCCGGCGACCTGATCGAATTCCACTTCCTACCCAAAGCGCACTCGGTAGTTCAATCATCTTTCGCCCAACCCTGCGCACCCCTCAACACCCCCGACGCCTTCTTCTCCGGCTTCAACTTCAATACGACGGCCGGTGAAGCTCCCAATGTCTTCACGTTCATGGTCAAGGATACAAAGCCCATGTGGTTCTACTGCTCGCAGACGAACGGCGATCACTGCCAGAGGGGCATGAGCGGAGTTATCAACCAGGATTTCAACGATAATGAGAAGACGTTGGCCAAGTACAAGGAGGCGGCCAAGGGGACGGTGACCAAGCAGCCCAGTACTGATCCGGCGAAGAGTCAGGGTGGGCAGATTAAGCCTAATGTGCCTCTTTGAGGTGCAGGGCTCAAAGGGATATGAGAGGGATGTGTTTGACGGGTATTTGATTTAGCATGGCGATGGTGTTTTTGATTTCAATTGTTGGTTTCTTGGTTATCTTGCATGGCGTAGATTAGATTCATCTTGGTGGTTTATACTTCAGTTTGTAATTCCCTTTAGATGATTATCAATATAAAGACTACCGTATCATGACTGCTGAAAGAACCAAGCATACTGTTTGGAAGACGAATATTGTTAATATCACCATGTTGATTGATGATAATGAGACATGACTGGAGCCACGGGGAAAGGGTGGAGAAGGGGCGAGTGGTTGCCGCGCTAGCCTAGCGATAACGGGTGAGTGGACAAGGATCTGTGGGCGGGATCTTCTCCAAACTTTTGAGCGTCTCTTTCATCCGCCACTACACACCACAACACCACATTACCCAACATGCGGAGAGCGCGTGGACTTAGGGTAAGCAGAGTAATTAATTGAGCATTTCTTCGGCTTGGTAATTGACACACGTGCAGGTTTCTTCGACCCGCGATGTTTGCATCTTCTGTGCCACTCGTCAATTGGCCGTCTCTACGCCATCCCACGCCGCCCAACGAAGACAACTCAACTCATCCAGCCGAACGCCGCAGTCAGCAGAAGGCATCATCTACAAAGATGCAAATGAACGCGAGCAGCCCATGTCGCAGGCACAGCTGATGCGCCAGGCGTTGGCTGCCAGTGCCGCCTTTGCCCCTCAACCACAGCAAGGAGGATATATGTCGCCAGCAGAGAGGATGAAGGCCGCACTGGCAGCACAGAGACCACAGCAACCCCGACAGAATTCCCTCGATCGACGGCCAGTGAATAGAGCGGGTGCGACCGATGGGCATGGCCGCAATCAGACCAGAGATCGCTTTGCACCTGCCCCTCGGCGTGCGGGCGTCACCGACCGAAACGAATACAAGAACATGCAACAGAACCGGTATACTGTCAACATGGACGCCAGACCACAGGTCAATACACCCGCATTCGGCCCTGGCCACTTGAGGCGACGCAACGAGCCCCAACATGATGGCGCCTCACTAGCGTCAGACCATCGACGGATGCACCCGACCGCGAGAGCACCACCGCAAAGGAAGATGCTGGACCAAGATGAAATATCGAAGTTGTTGGGCGATGCATCTACGACCAGTCGGCCGTCCAAGCCATATCAGCCGCTTGCAAGGAACGCTAACACGCAACGAACCTGCTGGCATTGTGGCTCCAAGGAACATACAAGTGCCATATGTCCAACAAAGCCGACATTACGTGAAAAGCCGCAGCAACAGCGAACCGAACAATCAACAACAATGTACCGTCCACCACAGCGCTACAAGGAGTCCATCTCAGATGCAGCTGAGGCTTGGGCACAAAAGTCAAAGGGCAAACTGGACATTGAACCTCCGTCACCATCACAAATTGAGGAGGATAACAGACGACGCAATGATATTGAAAGCGAGAGAAGAAGGAGTCGCTTTGCATTCGATGAGCCTGAGGAAAAGAACCGGTATGAAGAGCCTGCACGCCGCCAGGGTGGGACCAAGGGCAGGAGAGGGCGGATACAGCGGTTTGAAGACGAAGAGGACGAGGGCCCATCTATTAGCAAGGCAGAGCGCAAGCGACTGCGGGCCGAAGCGAAGAAAGCGGCGCAAGCTGCAAAGAACGAGCCAACTCCCATCTCTCTACCAGAGTACATCACCGTCGCCAATCTCGCCGGAGCGTTGAAACTACGAGTGGAAGACTTTGTACAGAAGCTAGAAGAGCTGGGTTTTGAGGACGTGCAAAACGACCACATTCTCAACGCCGAACACGCTGGACTCATCGCGCAAGAGTACAACTTCGAACCCATCTTCCAGTCCGAAGAAGAAGATGGTGATTTGTACCCCGCACCGCCTTTGGAACCCGAAGCCTACGCTGAGCTCCCTGCTCGACCACCGGTTGTCACTATCATGGGGCACGTTGACCATGGAAAGACCACGATTCTTGATTATATGCGCTCGACCAGTGTTGCTGCTACTGAGTTTGGTGGTATCACACAACACATTGGTGCTTTCAGCGTGCCACTAGCAAACGGAAAGAAGATTACCTTTCTTGACACGCCCGGCCATTCTGCTTTCGAGACGATGCGCGCTCGTGGTGCCAACGTCACCGACATTGTCGTCTTGGTAGTTGCCGCTGACGACTCCGTCATGCCACAGACTGTTGAGGCTATCAAGCACGCGCAGGCCGCCAAGGTACCCATGATTGTTGCCATCAACAAGATTGACAAAGCACAAGCCGACCCAGAGGCTGTCAAGCTCGATCTCGGTCGCCACGGCATTGAGATTGAAGACTTTGGTGGTGATGTCCAGGCTGTCTGTGTGAGTGGAAAGACTGGTCAGGGTATTCCAGACTTGGAAGAGGCTATCTCGACTCTCTCGGAGATGTTGGATCACCGTGCTGATCCTCAGGCTGCTGTGGAAGGATGGGTCTTGGAAGGCACAACAAAGAAGTCTGGGCGTGTGGCGACCGTTCTTGTCCGCAGTGGTACTCTTCGCCAGGGCACAGCCCTTGTTGCAGGCACTACCTGGACACGCGTGCGCAGTCTGCGTAATGAAGCTGGCGCAATGGTCAAGGAAGCTGGTCCCGGTATGGCCGTTGAAGTTGATGGCTGGCGCGATCAACCGATTGCTGGTGACGAGGTGCTTCAAGCTGAGGATGAACAGCACGCAACCTCTGTTACCGAGTTGCGCAGCGAAAAGGTGGAGAGAGAACAAATGGCACGCGACATGGAAGCTATCAACGAATCTCGTCGTCTGGAAGCCGAGCGTCGTGAAGCTGAGGAAGCCTCCGCCAAGGCTATCGAAAATGGTGAGGAGCCCGCGACTTCTGAAAAGAAGGAAACTGGTCCAGAAGTCGTTAGTTTCATCATCAAGGGCGACGTCTCTGGTTCTGTAGAAGCAATCATCGACTCTGTCGCTGCTCTTGGCAACGCAGAAGTCTCCACACGCATCCTCCGCCATGGTGTCGGTGCCCCTTCAGAATTCGACGTTACGCACGCAGCCGATGCAAACGGCCATATTGTCAACTTCAACACAACCATTCCTGGAAATGTTGCCAAACTCGCAGAGGAAAAGGGCGTTAAGATCCTCGACAGCAACATTATATACCGCGTTGTCGAAAACGTGAAGGAGCTTTTATCTGAGAAGCTCGCACCCAAGGTCATTCAAAAAGTTACAGGTGAGGTAGAAATTGCAGCCATCTTCGAGATTGGGTTGGGTGGTAGGAAGAAAATGAAGGTTGCGGGGTCAAAGGTGCGCAACGGTGTCGTCGATAGGGGCACAAAAGCAAGAGTGCTCCGTGGTGAGACGCTTGTTCATGATGGTAAGTTTTTTGGGTCTGAATGTTTTCAAAAATGGACACACCATGCTAATGTCTTTTTTTTCACAGGTGTCATTAATTCAATCAAAAATCAGAAGAAAGATGTCGAGCAGATGCGCAAGGATACTGAGTGTGGTATCTCGTTTGACGGCTGGGAAGACTTCAGAGTCGGTGATAAGATCCAGTGCTATGAGGAAAAGTTTGAGAAGAGGAGCTTGTAAGATATTAGGACTTGTGTCATGTACTGCTGCTATACTCCGCTCGGGTGTAGATGGATAGATGAGGGCCGGGAGGCGTCTATGCGAGCGCGCATGCTTTACTTCACTTGTAAATATACGAAAAATGTGATATGTATCCATTGAGTTGGGACAACCGCTATCTCGTGTGGAACGTGTGCAAAGGGCAATAACACGCTCAAGAGCACTGGGAAATGGCGCGCTTTTGACGTCGTCAAGCCGAGACGGGGTACTCACCGAGAAACTTACTCATCAATCTTTTTATACTGGTAAATGGGTATAACCCACGATACCTCGTGGTGGAGGTGTGTTACGTAGAGGTTGCACATATTATGGGTAGTGGTATGGTATTGGTATGGCCGAGATAGCTCAGGGTCGACAACGTTGAATGATGGCGACATGGTATGGAATCAGGGTTAGCTTTGTTGGAATTGGAAGGCAGAGTTTTCGATGCTTCCAATTACATGTACATGTTTTCGCTAATTAAGTGGCGTTCCGTGAGGATGCAGTAGTATGTTTATTTGTTTATTATAATTGATGGTGGCCTGATACAACCACAATGTAATATTGCATCTCTTTACGCGCTCGGAGATGCGATTGGGCTAGATGGGGATATGATGGGTTGGAGGGGAGATTCCTTCTTCCGATCAGAGACCTGGCTCACGATAGTCGCCGGTTTTACACTGAGTCGGCGGCTGTAGGGCAGGAGAAGCAGGTCATGATCCAGGTGGATGAGTACTGGGACATCTCTGCTGCAGATGAGTTCGTTTTTTTGCTTGCCCCCATCCGTTCTGCTTATAAATCTTCCAAGCTGTACGCGTGATTCGAGAATTGATTTATTATAGTGGATATGAATTCTTCAAATGAGTGCCATTGATGATTTTATTGATTTCACGCAGTATGAGAGGTACTATATTCTTGCAATTGTAATAATCGGGAAATTCCAAAAAAAAAGCAAAGTGACGTTCGAAATGTTGATAGGTGACGCGTTATAGATGCAAGGAAGTTCCCTTCAGTGCTATTTAATCGTATCCGGTATCTCCGGATGCTTGAACATCGGTAAGAGTAATAAAGCAGGCTTGAGTTACTTAACCCTGTGTATGATAAGCGTTGTTTCACTCCATAGTGTGACCTGTGGCCCACACTAGTGCTGTCACATATTCTTGGCTCTTTATTATTCTCCTTTTACTAGTTAATTTAGCTCCTTTTTCTAAACGCGCAACATTCCCATTGGGTAATGTGACGTGAGATGAATTATTATAATTACCGCTATCCTTCTTTCGGAAACCACAGGGCTCAAATAGCTCGTGCTGATCAAGCGCCGTTATGCAAAGGCATTGAAGAATGACCTCATTGCTTATTAGCATGCTACATTCGTATTCCTGTTGTGCACGTACTACAACCTCACTATGCGCAAATATGAGATTCTACGCTTGTTGTATTTACGTGCAACAAGATCGATAAGTCTACCTACGTGAAGCCTTTGACACACTAACGGGTCCTTGAAAGACAGACATGAACATGTGGAAAGGGCAGTTCTCAATGTGGAGATGCTACCGCTGATGTGGCGGTGCCTCCCAGATATGGGTTAGCGCAGCTTTACTAGTACGTAGTCCAGATCTCTGGAAGATCCAAACAATCAAACCCTCTCTCACACTTTTTATAAAGCATTGCCACCACAACATGTATGTACCTTGACGATCGGCTGTACCAGCCAAATAATACCGAAGCGATACATCCGTACTGCTATCTGATTGCTTCGCAGCTACACTCCGGCGTTTGATGTGACGTGCGTTCTGGCCTGGTTATCTGTTCCTCCTTCGGACGAAGCCTAGGTCTAACGTGATGTCAAAATTCTAGGCCCATGGTCGGTGAAATCAGGGCATTTTACTCGTAATTATCTAAACCACAAAGGGTGACCTGGCCGCCACGTGGAAAGACTGCTTGGATCGATCGAGGGTTTTTGTAACAATCTGGTTTGGTGCGCCCGACGGGACGGCAGGAACCGAAATAGCTACGACAATGCAGCAGGAGTTCAATCAACCAAGTTACACTGTATGGAATGCATATGGATCAATTGTTGAGCACTGTCCAAGATGCTCGCATCTTGACACTTCTCTGTTTCATCCGTTTGCTTTGCTCCATGTTTCTTATTGTTGCATATACACGTCAGAATGCTTAGCGTCTAACGGACGAAAACCGAATCGAGTCAGTTACTGGTTAGTACGGTTGAGAAGTATTGGAAACTCCCGTTTGCGGATACGGCTATACTACGGAGGTAAGCATCTTGCACTGTTGTATCGACGGCATAACCCAGAGCTTGGCAAGGATTAATACGACTTGATTAGTATGCTTGAAGTCTGGGAATCCTGTGTTAACAAGGTCCTGTGGCTAACGATCAAGGCTATTCCCTAAATATCGGGTATCAGTTCAGTGGTAATAGCAACAACAAAAACATCCCAACGAGATTCGTGATAGATATGGAGTCTAACAGGTGGAGACTAAGGGGCTTTCCGCCTCGCTAGCAACACAGCCCAGGTACTTGGATGCAAGCGACCAACGCATGCGGGGCAATGCGGCTGGTTCCGTCCTAAAAGTCTGGGCTTATAATGTGAAGTAGGCGTGGCTTGCAGGGATCTCTCACCTATCCTAGTTCACTATGCCACGTGCCGTGGTTTGCCGGACGAGGTACTTCGCAGCGACACAAGATACACGGTTAAGGTTGTACTTCGTAAAAAAAGATGATTACTATAGTGCTTACTTTGTGCAAAGCTTTCTAGCTCGCGACGAGTCAGTAGACAGTGAATGTGGCTTCAGTCTCATGCGATCGATCGAGAGACATGGGCACTTGGCATGCTAACGATCAAGCAACATGAAAACTTAGGGGAAAGGAATTTCAAGTATAAATACCGGATGCTCTCTCATGGAGTTTGGAGACATTAACCTACATCTACATCTTAACAGTACAACTCCACTTCAACACAATCACTTCGAATTTTCATCATGAAGCTCGTCGCAGTCCTCGCCACCGTCCTCAGCGTCGTCTCCGCTGTCGCTATCCCAGCTGAGCTCCAAGAACGCCAATGTCTTAACAACGGAAGTACGTCGATTCGACTCCAATCTGGTCTGTAATATCATGCTAACAAGAGAACTCATAGTTGCTTGCACATTTCCTGGAGGCAATGGGAGCTGCTGCTCGGGAAGCTGCCACGGTAAGTGGATTCTTCTCTCGCTACTCTTTTTTGTTGAACTGAGTTGAGCATTAAACTAATGTTTTGACCAGCCATTTTGTGCGGAGACACAAACACTACTTGTCAGCCCCCGGGAACAGCTTGCATTATGCGTAAAGGCAACAATTAGTCATAATAGGAGGTAGAAGTGGAATCGGATTTTAGTCACGGCAGAAGGGTTTTTTTTTAGTAGCAGACTTAGAGGTAGATGAGAGGATTTCAGGTACATAGTTTGATTGGTTAAATTAGCGTTTCTGCAATACAGTCATGGGACAAAAGCTTCACCTTTGAACGGATTTCTTGTTAAACTTGCCTTATCTTGCAATGATATAGCTTGGGCCAAGAGAGCTACAAGTCATATATCTTGTACCTATCTGCAAAGTACCTTACATCTTCTCTCTTTACCCCAAAGTGGAGCGAATTTCTTTGTCCGCTTTGATTCTTTCTAATATTCTTACAACGTATTCAGTAGGAGCCTCTAAAACAAACTTTTAAGTCATAGGGGTTTTAAATGAGAGGAGGTTGTGTAAGCAAAAGAAACCTCTATTCTAGCACTGTCGAACGAGACACAACTAGCCCAGAGAACATCAACTGTCATCCGATATATCCATACTAAGATGCGAGCATGACCTTCTTTTTAAGTCAGCGCAAAGTTTAGTGACAAATAATACAAAGAAAATTTTTATAGTCTAGCACGCAGAGGCAACAAAAGTAGTCAAAAACCGGCGCGCCTTCCCTTCAAACCCCTGATTTACGGAAACTTTTAACAATCGCATCCAGGAGTCAAAAATGTTTATATTCTTGAATTTCCTGTTCACTATATAGTATACGCGTGGAAACCTCAATAGTGTATATGTACAACGGGCAACGCTACCTTAAAGAGAAAACATCGTATGTGCCGATATAATTCTAAAGCTTTCTCCGTATCTGATTCCCCCTTCCTTCATCTCAATAAGGCATTTCAAGAAGCAGTAGCACTCCACTGGTTGACCGTAAACGTAGCAGGACCCCCGGTAAACGCTTCACTACCGAACTGATAGGCTAAAAAAACACGCAGACATATTAGTAGTGTCTTGTTTCATGTCATTTCCTAGGAACGAGCTTACTAATAAGATTCTGAGTCGAAGCAGGATAATCCTTCTTCTCAGTCAGATACGTGAAGAACTCCTTGACATCGGCGGTGAAATGGGGGATCGGGCTGGGCGCAATGAAAGAGTATACTTTCATCGCGCCGTTAAAGCCGTAGAAAAGCTCCCAGGTGTGACCGGCGATTGTGACCATGCCTTGCGAGCTGCCGATGGGGTAGACGTCGTATCTAGCCAACCTACATGGGCAAGTTAGCAAGTAGTTACAAAACATGTGAGGGGAATGGGTTGGGACTTGCCAGATCATAAGCTCATAGTCGCCGCTGCTGGTGGTGTGGTTGACGTCTTGGGCAGTGAAGAGGTCGTAGGCGACGTTGCAACGGATGTTGCTGGTGTCGTAGGCCCAGTTTGCCTCGGTTTGCAGGTTGGTGAATTGGCTGACGGGCTTCTTGGTGAACAGGCGGCCGGCATAGACGTAGCTTTTGACGTTGTTTGGGGCACCGGCCCAGGTCCAGTTTGAGTGCCATTTCGTACCGGCGTCGGTGACGCCGTCGACGTATGTGCACTGGGATCCGCTGGTCGCGGCATCTTTGCCCCAGAGGTTGTTGAGGATCTCGTAGCCGTTGCTTGAGTAGTAGTTGTATAGCTTGCAGGCATCTTGAGCAGTGGCGACGGAGGCCAGGGCGGCGGCGATGAATGAAGTGATCTTCATGGTGTACGATTGCTACAAAGCTCTTGGTGTGAAGTGGATGCGGCTGTTCTGTCTACTCTCCTGCGAGGTGCCGAGACCCTTTTATACTGCCCAGACTTAATGTTTGAGACTCCAATCTTCCAGGGTGGGAGTATTCTAGAAGGTGAATGCTAACCGAAGTGGTACCTTGATACGGTTGCGCGAAACTATATGCGCGAAGCTTTCCTAGGTTCCGACGGAGTGTCCTAAGCGGTGAATGGTATACGCGTCAGTTAAAGTATGTGTAGGGTGCAGATCAACGCCCGTGATACTTGACTAGGGCCCCAAATGGGAATCTCAATATCCATAACTAATATGGATACAATTACTAAACTCTCAGAACACGTATTCACAGACCAGTCCCTGCATATTACCTACTTTTGCCGTGAAACTTTTCATCAGTCGTTCAAAGTGATCACTCTCCGATGCATCATGCGCGGTCCGACGAGTCCAAAAGAAACATGAAGGTTGGACTGTTGGTGAGGGGTTCATAGTCTTGCCATCGTAGTCTTCTCACCTGTGGCATCTCAATCCCCACCGCTGAGATACAATGTGGATATTGTAAAAGACGAGCATATTATAAGATTGTTAGTAAAGACAGATGTCGACTGACATAATATTTTCATCAATTAGTGTTTGATGAACGGAATTTACAGCCGTTATTCCTGCTAGTGATGCGGATCCCTGGATATATGTATGTATCGAGTATATCCTACCATCGCGAATGGCCGTGCGCCTGACTGCCGTCCCGGATAGTACAGCAATTGTTAAAACTTACGTGGTTGGCTCTCTACTATGCATTTTTTTTCGCTTAAGCTTTGCCAATTCTGCCCTTGGTATCTTCCCAGCCGCCTATTTGTATATATATGGCGGTAGTATGCTCCCCATGATACAATCATGTCATTTTCTGCGCCATCCATTTGCACTTTGCGCTCTCTTCTTTAGTGACATGAGTGACAGGTGTGCCAGGCACATCTCACCGGGATGACGGGAACTAAGCCGCATCCGATCTCCAGCCCGACCCTTTACCCTACCCTGTAATCTCCGCATCAAGACACCTTTACCCGCGAGAACCTATGTGGGGTACCATATCGATATCTCTACGCCTGACAGTCTGACTGTGTTCACCGTGCCCGAAAAGATTAGCGTCTCTTTGTGCTCCAGCTAACCCTCGTAGTTTCAAGTTTTCTCACCTATGTGGGACTGAATTCATGAAAAAGACTTGTTTCACACGTGCAGAAGCTTCCTGTCAAAAGCTTAGTGCTGACATTGAACTTGACCATGCGGGAAAAATCCAGCCGAGGTGCTCCTCGGATTGCTATAATACGAGATAATGATCCACATCATATGGAAATATGCGGTGGGTCTTAGCAGCGGAGCTTAACAGTAGAGGAATTCGTCTTGCACATAGTGGTAGAACTATTATTATTTTTTACTTTTATGGACTAGAGTGATATGTCATTGGCATGGGGTTCTACACCGGGCAACGGTTCTTGGAATACGTGCATCGCGAGGTCGTTAGTGCCAAAATTGGCTATATGCCTTATACCCAAGAAAAAAGGCATTTGCGTAGAACATCTTGTCACACACCATCTTGCCCATCAAGTTGCGGCCTTTCAATGGGCCCAGGGTTAGAGCAAGTTACTGAGTAAAAGTAAGTCACACAAGAGGAGCTGCTCGCTTTCGTCATAACACTACCCAAACACGAGGCCTGCGTGACCTGTTTCGTCACGGAAGTTCGTCTTAGACACAAACTCCCACAATCTCATGACTATACGACAATCTGCTTGAAAAGAGAGACAATTGCAGTGATCAATTCAATTCTTCTATGCAATGCGTGCCCAGACCAGCTATTAGAGTGCACGCAAAAATAATAGTAATAACCGGACACTACCAGCCACTGTACATAACTTAAGACAACATAAACCGCTCTCAAGTCGGACGCCTAAATGGATGAGCCTCAGTATTCAATACCCAATCATCCAAGCTGATAACATCCTCTTCCGAGAACAGGAGGTAAAAGTATTTCAACGTCTCGGCAAGCCAGAAACTCTCCATCTCGTCTTGAAATACAGGAGCCGTCTTCGTCACGTCGTCGATGGCGGAATTGCCAAACTCGGTTGTTGTGTGGCGATCAATGGCGAGGAACATGCGCCAGCCGGCTTCACGCCAGTGCTGTGATCCGGTTATACGATACATGTACCACACGGACTCGATTGCTTCCGGGCTGTTATTAACGTTAGTGACATCATAAAATGCAAAAATGTTGCTGGCTTGAAACCGAGCAAAAAGAAACTTACCGGAGAATATAATCCTTAGCCCCAATTCTGGTAACACCTTTCGGCAGTCGGTCTTCCTTGATCCTATTCTCCACGTATTCCTTGTGACTCAGGACTGGGACTGGCGAATAAACATAAGGGAAGTCTGGTAGAGTCGGAGTTGGCTGCTGAGCAAATTCTGGGATATCCAGTGTTGGTTGAGCTTTGATGGGAGGACCTTCACCTTCCTCAGGTTCGCCGCCCATGACTGAATCCCGATTTTGCTGGACGCTTGCAGACGAGCTTGGCATGTGTGCAAGTTCGACATCATCTACAAGCTCAGCGAGTTGGCGCTTGTCCAGTGTATCCGCATATATCAGAGTTGACGTGGCTTTTGCTGCAACTGCAGCAACAGGAGAGGGTTTCGGCGGTGGAGTCATCGCAGCAAGCTGAGCCTTATACCATGATGACGCAGAAGCAATTTGTGATTCATAAACTTCCCTTTGCTCCTCGTAATATTTTATCCGAGATTCGTGTCGTGGGTCGATGTACTCCCAGTAGGTTGTTTCGTTCCAAGCACACTCCTTCGTGCTGTCACAGGGGGCTACTTCAAACGATTCAGGCATGATGCTAGTGGATGTCATGTCGTAACTCCAAATACATCCTTCCGTTAGCTTCTTGGCAACCTCGAGATCTTCGGGGCGGTCGAATAGTTTTGCGCCCATGCCAAACATTCCTCCCGCAAAGCAGGTCAGATGGGCATTCTCTGCCAATAGATCGCCGCTTTGAGTGCTGTCATACATTGCTGGGACTGTGAGTTTTCCAGAAAACAGGATATTCTCCTCTTTCGGGAGCATCGGCCGGAAGAGCAAGTGCTTTTTGACTACATCTATTGATTGCTCATACATGGTCCGATACTTCTCGACTTGGCCACCAAGGAGCAGGTATTGTTTCGGCAGATACTCATATGTGGAATCAGACATGCCACCTAGCGTAAACTCGTCACGCCCACTGCCAGTCGCCACGAAGCCTTGCGGTATGCACTCTGGAGGTGCTGGTATGGTAGGTGCGGCAGATGAGGTCTTGGTGGTCGTATCGAAGTCTCGCTCTGCTCTGAGTGGACTTGACTCATCGATATCAAGCTGTCGTCGTTTGAGCACCGAGTCGCTCGATGGTACAGTTTCTTTCTTCTCTGCATCCTGTTTGGCGCGGTCTGCATCAGAAATGAGCATGACAGGGTCTGGCAATTTCAACGGAATGTATTTATTGCCTTCAGGAGACAGCTTCTCAGCGGACGAATCCGGAGCGGACTGAGAATCAGGCGAGGGACCAATGTTGGGATAGCCTTCTGGAGCTTTGAGAGGTTCTTGTTCAGGAGGCACATCCGCGTAACGTCTTCCACACCCAGAGGCGTCCAAATGAACAGGCCACATGCCCGGAAGCGGAGTCTTTTTCTGAAATTCCTCCAGGTTGTCTGTGATGCGTGCAACGGCATCATAGTACTTGTGCTCTCCAGTGAGTTGCGCAAGTCTGGTGAATTCCATTGAAAGCGAGCCAATCTCGGCCAGAACCACACTTTGGCCGGCACGATGCTTCTGCGAAGCGAAGTCGGGTCTCCAGTAGTAGTACATCTGAGGCATCCGGTTTGGCGTATCGAAAGCACTTATGAGAACTTCGGCAAGTTCTACTGCCTTGTCAAGCAAGTTCTTGTACTTTTTGCCGCTGATATCGTAGGCAGCCAGCAGCCCACCAAGGTAACGGATGGTTGTCTCGAACAAGGGGATATCGGTACGGGTAGTGGTTGTGAAGTCAATTTTGTCCACAGCCTTGACTGCCTCTTCAAACTCGTCCTTCAAGCCCATGATCCAGAGAGTATCGAGTGCATCCACAAGAGTCGCACCCCACTGCGCGAATGGGTCCCTGAAGGTGCCGGACTGCGGACGTAGCTCATCGTGAAGCCATGCCTTTGTCCTGTATCCATCCCACGCCTTCTTAGCAACGCTTCTAATTTTGTCCAGCTTAGCGTTTCTGTCTGTTTTGGCCAGGGCATCCTCGGGCTTGAATTTGGCTTGAATCTTGGGTAGTGTCTTTGGCTTGCCTGAGGGAAGGCGAATGAGCGACTCCGTGGGTATGGGGAAGTGCTCAGGCAGCTTTTTCCAATGTATGACTTCGATACTCGACGATGGGTCTACATCATTGTCGATGATGGCGGCGGGGTCGTCGTGTGGTCGGGGTGGGAGCGGCGAGGGGATCGAAGGTTTGAGTGGCTGTTTGGTGACTTCAGGGCTCGGGGCTGGAGAAGAAGCCGGCTTCTTCACTGGGGGTGGTGTTTGGAGCGGTTGGAACGTGCTAGCAGCAGGCACGTCTAGTTTTAGGCTCTTTGTCTCATGCGCCACGGGTGGGCGTGGTTTCGTGTCCTTATGCAGAGCTTCGCCAGCGTTGCCCTTTAGGCTTGTTGCTCTCGATGCCGCTTCCCTCCATGCTGCGCTAGAATCACCAAATCGATAAATGGTAAGCACGGCAATGACAGCAAAGACGAGAAACGTGCGGTATCTTCGGTATCGGAACATGTCTCAGGGAGGGCCGTGAGCCCAAGGATCCAAGGGTCGTGTGCACTACGACGCGCAAAAGGGGAGTGTTGTGGAAAGAATAGAAGAGGTGGCTATGTCGCTGCTGCCATTTGCGCGCAGAAAAGTGCGAGTGCAAATAGACGGGGGCGTCGAGGCGGAAAGCCGGACAGACTGCTCGAGTCTATGTCCATACGTCTTATGTCTAGTAGGCTTAGCTTCAGGGTGGCTAGTCGCATGCACGCCCTGGAGATCCCTTAGGCGGGTGTGGGGTTGCTTTCGCGCATCGTTGATGTACCAGGCACTCGAAAGCAGGGCACCAGCAAGCAGCCACACCTACGATTCACCAGCCTCACCCACGACATCTGTTTTGGATGGGGTTCTATTTAGCGTTGCGTCTCAAATGGCACTCTGTTGATCTCCTCCCTTATCCTGCAAACCCTTTTCCCCCCTCAGCACAGCCAACTTGCCGAACTCCGTCTGAATAGAGCACTAACTTTGAGCCTACATCCCTCTAGCCGGATTGGGCTGCATGGATATTCATCCCGTGCACCCACCTTTTGACCATACAGTTCACAGCCGAGCCTTAAATTGTCAGCCACAAACAACTACAGTCTACAAGAGTGCTTGTAGAGTGTATCCAAGGTTGTTGGAAGAGCGAGGGAAAAGATCGAATCACGGGTGGCAGCGCTCTGATCATGAAAGCTTCTGTTCGCATTTCTTTGTGAAAATCTATCTAGACAGAGCCGTTATGCAGCCATTGTCAACGGTTCGAGTCGGTTGACATTGTAGGTTTTCCCGCGTAGCGCTTGCTCAATCGCAACAAGTCACATGATCAGTCAACTACGCTTTCAGTGCGTAGGAACTACGGTAGCTTGTCTGAGTGATATCTTTACAGTTCAATCATTGATCGTCGCCGGGTCCTGGTGCTCGTCCCTGATAGCAAGTCAGCAAAGGATCTTCAACAGTATTCGTTTCACTTATTACCATCTGTCGTGCCTTGAGCATCTCGTCGCACAACAACAGGTTAGAAGCAATGCCAGTGGCAGATGCTATACTGTTGCGCAGCACCCTGAATGAATCGTAGACGCCTTCTTGATTGGGATCCATGGCTTCTCCAGTTGCGAGATTCAGGCCTACAACGTTACCCTCGGCGTGCTCGTCTTGCAGCGCGGCTACTATCATCCGGTCAGTACGAAGCAGCAAACAGAGAGAGGCTTATGGCTTACATGAGTCTTGAATGTCATGACCAGAGTTAGCCGCCAGCGTCTTGGGAATGATAAGAAGCGCATCAGCAAAAGCCGAAACTCCCCACTTGGCTTTACCCTTGACCGTCTTCTTGAACTGCTCGCTCTCTAGATGAGCTGCACATGCTACTTGGAAGGCGCCTCCTCCGGGAACAACGCTTCCGTCAACAATCATGTTGTACACGCTCCTCAGCCCGTCGCGAACAGCATCCTTGATTTGGGCAATAGTGTGCGAGTTTGGTCCCTTGATCAGTAGGGTAACAGACTTTGGCTCTTTGACATCTTCCTGTACGCTGTAAGTATACCATCACACCACTACACATGGGCCAACGTACAATAAAGGTATACTTCTCCTCGCCCAATTGGTGTTCATAGACAGAGCCTGCCCAGCCAAGAACGTCCGGTGTCAGGTCGTCAACGCTGTTCTGCGCTGTACCACCACAGACAAGCTGTAGACGTTCCATGTTCCTCCTCTTAGCTCTCCTCAATGCGAAGATACCGTTCTTGACAAGTACATCCAGACTGAGGGGGTCAATGCCCTTTTGGTTTATTATAACGAAACCTTTGCTGGGATCGTTGCCACAAACCTCCTTCTTGAGCTCGACAATTTTCCTCAGCTTCTCGTCGACGAAACGGCGCTCACTCTCTACAAGCTTCTCTCGCTGCTCCGCACTCGAGTAGTAGAAGCCAGAGTTGATCTCGGACTTTTCGTACTCTAAGCTGACGTTCAGGGTCAGGATGTATGCATTCTCTACCCTCTTGGCCATATCCGGATGCCTTGCACCGTGGTCAAGAGCAAGTCCTCGAATGAGCTGTGTATCGGCAGCGGTGCGGTGTTGCATAGTCATGATTTCCACCATGTGTAGATCGGGCTTCGCGGGGGCTTGGTAGATGGCGAGGACTGCGTCGACAATATCGGGAGTCAGTTGTTCGGCGAGCGAGCTGTTAATCTTCGTTGAGAGCGACGTTCGGGCTACGGATAGCAGGAGTTCGCGGTCGACTTCTTTTGCAAGCTTGAACTCGTCAAGGAACTACAGCCTGTCAGCCAAATTTCCACACACACACAAGCGCTGAGCTCATTGTACCTTGAGTGCCTCGGTTTTCGCAATGTCATAACCGTCTGCTATTACTCTAGGGTGAAGACCCTCCGCAATGTAGCGATCAGCCTGCTTCAGCAACTCGCCCACCAAGAGTACCACGGAGGTTGTGCCATCGCCTGTGATCTCATCTTGTGCCGTCGCTGCTCGTGCAATCATAACCTGATTTATTTGAGTCGTGGATCGAGAACGAAGGGGGTAAGACATACGGCGGTAGGGTTTTGGATTTGCTGCGAAAGTGTTAGTTGGTGTAATTTCTGTTGCAACGCAGATACATACCATTTCCTTCAGCAGAACGCTGCCATCTTTTGTGAGCTTGATCTGCACTTCTTGTGAGTGTATGCCAGACGGACGGTACAAACTAACGTACTCCTCCAGCGCCGTCTACAAGCCTGTGCAGAGTTAGTCACTTGCAGTGCATACTGTTTGTTGTTTCTCACATCTTCAGTGTACCGCGGGGTCCCAAATTTGAGGCAAGCACCTATGTTCCGTATAAGAAGGGATTTACTTATTTTAACACTGCCATTCCGTACCTGCTGTAGACCCTCTCCGGCTGAGATGTTTACACGGAGAGCTTCCCCGCGTCTCTGTGTACTGTTAGCGATGGCCGCAGCGCGCTGCAACGAATTCACATACCCGCGACTCGGCCTTGGGATTGAGAAGCTGTGCTGCCGACATGGTTGAAAACGTATACGAGGGTATCGGAGAGTGCAGCAATCAAGCAAAAGACAATATGGCGGGGCAAAATGCTGTTTCCGCACTGCCTGTCGCGTCCCTCCTCAGATTTCTTAGCGGGCGGCAATGCCAAGATTACCCAGAGCTCGGGCCTTCCCTGCAATAATCTTTTTCGCAGAGCTTCAACTTTCTCGACCGCGATTACATCCCGACAGCGGAATAGCCAGCGCATTCCAATACACGACCCAGCTTGTTGCGCCCGCTGATCGCTCGTCCCGCGCGCCATTCCATTTATTGCACGATGAGCGTAGATTACCTCCTCCACGAAAGCCCCGTCGGCTATGCCGTCTTCAAGGTTGCGATCCAGCCAGACACCATTGGCAACCGCCTCCAAGAGGTGCAGAAGGCAGTTCAAGACCTCGACAAGTTCGGAAAGACTGTTGAGCTTGTCGGCCTTGCGCCGTTCCAGGGCACCCAAGATGCTCTGGCCGAGATCAACGATGTCTCGGAAGGCATCATGTCTGACTTCTTGAAGGCCACTCTCGAAACGAACCTTCCCAAGGCCGGAAAGAAGAAGACGATTACTCTTGGTGTGAGCGAGAGGAACCTGGCGGGTAGCATCAAGGCCGCGTTCCCCAACCTCTCATGCGAGACTAGCGACACTTCGGAAGTAGTGGCTGATCTCCTGCGTGGTCTTCGCCAGCACAGCGGCAAGCTGATCAAGGTACGCATAATGTTGGCGCCATCTTGAAGCTTCATATGCTGATTTTTCAAAGAAACTGCAACCTGGTGACATTGATCGCTCTATTCTGGGTCTCGGACATGCGTACTCCAGGTCCAAGGTCAAGTTCAGCGTCCAGAAGCAGGACAACCACATCATCCAAGCAATTGCGACGCTCGACCAGATCGACAAGGACCTCAACACCTTCTGCATGCGCCTGCGCGAGAACTATGGTGAATACGCCTTGTGTATGACACGGATAGCAGGCATGTACTGACGCTATTGGCAGGCTGGCATTTCCCTGAGCTCGCGAAGATTGTCAACAGCAACGAGCAGTACGCAAAGATTGTTCTGAAGATTGGCGACAAGTCGAAATTGTCCGATGAGGACCTGCACGACCTTGCAGCAGTTGTGGACGACGATGAGGGTGTTGCGCAAGCCATAATCAATGCCGCGCGCACATCCATGGGCCGTGAGTTCAAGCCAGCAGCGATGCAGGTGTAAGAAGCATGATCACTGACGCTGTTTTTAGGGGATCTCTCCGAGGCTGATATGGAGATTGTCATGTAAGGGTTCTTCGTGCACCATGCAAATCACCTACTAACATTCAATCAGGGCATTCGCTAAGAGAACCGCTTCGTTGGCTGCGTATCGCAAGCAGCTTAGCAACTACCTTGGAAGCCGCATGAACCAGGTCGCTCCCAACCTGGCTGCTCTGATCGGTGACACGGTTGGCGCAAGGCTGATCTCCAAGGCTGGTTCTTTGACGAATCTCTCCAAATACCCTGCCAGTACTGTGCAGATTCTGGGTGCAGAGAAGGCGCTGTTCAGAGCGCTCAAGACCAAGGGAAACGTATGTGGCTTTGCTCGACACTCTGCCGGATGACGCTAACTGTTGAGCAGACTCCCAAGTATGGATTGATCTACCACAGCTCCTTCATTGGACGCACAGGACAAAAGTCCAAGGGCAGAATCTCGCGTTTCTTGGCCAACAAGTGCTCAATTGCGTCGAGGATTGACAACTTTTCTGATACGCCGACTTCCAAGTTTGGTGAAGCACTCAAGCGCCAAGTGGATGAGCGAATTGAGTTCTATGCGACTGGCGCCCCGCCTGCGAAGAATGCAGCGGTGATGCAGGCGGCCATGAACTCTGTCATGACTGACATTGGCGTCATCGAGGACCCCACTGCAACTGCAGCCGAGGATGTGGAGATGGCCGACGGGGTAACAGCGGCAGCCACTGAGCAAGCGGTGCGCAAGGAGAAGAAGGACAGGAAGGCCAAGAAGGCCAAGAAGGAGGCCGAAGAGGAGGTTTCGGAGAAGAAGTCGAAGAAGGACAAGAAGCGGAAACACGGCGAGGAGGAGGATGGCGAAAAGAAGAAGAAGAAGAAGAGCAAGGCGTGATGATGGGATGGGGAGGAAGACCTGTAGCTATACTGGCATCGTGTGATGGCGTTTTGCAAGAGGGTGTTTTTGGAGTTTTTTTTTGTGAGTGATTTGTTTTGAGGGGTCTATGAGTTTACGCAGCACATTACCCAGGGGCGGATGGGTGTGGGCATATACCTCGAGCAGTTATCCAGGGTACAAAAGCAGTGTTGTTTGCAATTGCGCGCGGGTGTGTATGTGTGAGTGTGTGAGTGTGTGAGTGTGTACATGTGGGTGTGTGGGTGTGCATGTGCATGTATGACAGGAGGGTGGACATGCAAGAAGCGTTCCTGGATGTGTAACGCCACGGCAGCGGTGGCGAATCAGAGACCCCTGTAGACGATCGGAACGCACGGGCGCGATCAGGCATGCAGGCCACGCCGAAACGCACAGGCAGCGTGGAACGACCATGTATAGGTAGTGGGCTGGCAACAGAGCCAACAGGTATGGATATATGGGCGACGACGACAATGACGACCAGGACAGCATGGCCGGAGCATGCGGGCCAACGCTGCAGTGTGCTCTGGCGTGCAGCAGCAGTGCATGCGCGGCTAATGCGCCTCAGCGGGCGTCGCAGTTATTCATGGCAGAGGAACACACAGGCACACAGACATGCATGCACCCACACATGATGATATCCAGACGTGGGATGGGACTGTGGGGTGGGAGAGCATGGGATGGAAGCACTCCCACTCTTGCTTATATTGCTCATGGACAACCACAAACGGGCCCTTGAACTTGTACTTGATGTCCATGTGGCAGGATGGTGGTATGTATATTATTATGATGATTATGTAGCTATGTGGGCATGTGCATCCCGTCGGTCCATGGCGCGGCAGATGGTGGTGGTGGTGGTGCCATGTTTGATAGCAGCCAGCAGCGGCGGGCATAGGGTAGGGTAGGGTAGGCAGGCAGGTAGGCAGGTAGGCAGGTAGGCAGGTAGGCAGGTAGGCCAGCCAGGCCAGGGTTCGTCGACTGCTCTGGCGTAAACTGTTTTTCTCTTCTAGGGCTCGTCGTAACCCCAAGCTTTGGCCCGCTGCTGTCCCAAATGGCCCTCATGGCTACTTGAGGCCCTTGAGCCCCCCTTCAAGCTCAAGGACGACGACTTTTGTCCTTTGTCTCTTCTTCTTCCATTGCCGCTCCCTCCATCTTTCTCTCTCTCTCCTTCTCCCTCTCTCCTTCTCTCCGTCTTCGTCGCCAGCCCCGTTTTCGGCTGCTGCCATCCACCGTTTCCATCTCTCCCGCCGGCGCTGAGGGTGCCGTCATCAATATCTGGCTAGCAATCTCATCTTGGTGTTCCTGTCCATCCATCTACCCGAGTTAGCCTCTGGCCCCGGCTCGCCGTCCCGCTAAACATCGACTTTGGTGTTCTTGCCCGCTATTGCATTTACCCAGCCTTTCGCCCATTTTTGGTGTTGAGTTCTGCACACCCGCCCGCGCTTCCACCTCGCCTCGCTCAACCCCCTCTGCTCTGCATAGCCGCCTGTCAGCATTTTGTGTAGCCAGCGACAGGCACGGCCAGCGTCCTTCTCTTCGTGTTTCTTCTGTGCGCTGCACTCTCGCCCTGTTCCGCGCCATGGACGTAGGCGATGCATCCTCGCCCGGCAGTCTAAGCTCGCCCCCACACTCGCCCGAGCAGGGCACGCCGACCTCGACGGTTCGCGCATCTGCAGGTGGTGTTGGTGTTGGGACTAGCACCCCCACCCCTGCAAACGCGTCGCCGGCAACACATGCGCGAGGCTTAACCGCCAGCGGCCAGCCACGCAAGAAGCCGGGGCCCAAGCCAAAGGCAAAAGACCAAAGTGCCCCCGAGCCAGAGAAGAAGACTAGGAAGCCACGCAAGAGCGAGCCCAAAGACCCAAATGCTGCACCCATCCAACGGAAGAGACGGACAAAGGCCTCCCTCGAGGCCCAGTCGCAGCCACAGCCTCAACCACCACTACCACCGCCGCCAGCTCCAGCACCCGCACCCGCACCCGCACCCGCGCCGGTTGTAGAAGAGAAACCACCTGTTCAGCAGTCGCCCACGCCCCAGAGTAGACCCAGTGAGCCCGCGCCTGTCTTGCAACCAGAACAGCCACCCGCTGTCACACAACCCCCTCGCGTGCTGAGCAATGCCGAACCCACGCTTCACAGCAATCCGAACCTATCACATATCAGTGCCACTCCCCCAGCACCACGCCCGTCAAGCTCAGGCCAGCGCTATGATCCAATTCGAGGTGGCATCTTCGAATCCAAACCCCAGCCTGTAGCAAGTGCCCCTCCGCCAGTCTCCCCACGACTCAATCACCGTGCGAGTGCCTCTCCCTCCATTACCAGTCTGATCGATCCCCCATCTGCCAGCAATTCCTTCTACTCTCACCCCGTCAAGCTACCCCAGCAGAACTCAGTCACCTCGGCGCCTGTTTCGCCTGCTGCCTTCTCTACCCGACCCGGGTCGGTCCTTCCTACCCAAGAATATCCACCTCAACCTCCACCCCAACAACAGCAACCACAACAGGAACAGGCCCCGCTTCCAGTCCAGGCTCAAACACATCTGATTGCACCATCGGGACCGACTCCTATGGATATTGACAGTGAGCCCAGCAAGCCAGTATCTGTACCCATGACCAAGTCAAACTCTGCAAACTCCGGCACGCCTTCACAGTCAAATGCTCCAACACCACCCACCAAAGCCGCACGTCAGAAAGAGGCCCCACCACCATTACCTACAGGCAGTGGCTTGTTGTCAGGAACCCCATTTGGCCCAGTGGCCAACGCCAATGGCACATCCGAGACACAGGGTACTAACATTTACCTTCACTTCGATTTGAAGGGACGTGACAACGTGACCATCAATGTCGCACAAGAGGTTGAGAAGAAATACGGGTTTGCTGCTCTTCATCCCCGCATTGCTGCCCGCAAAGAGCGTCAACGCCAAATCACAGCTGCCGGCGCCGCTCTTGAAAGAGCCGCAGGTGGGGGATCAAATGACGACCTTTCTGTCGATCTGTCTGAGAATGAAAGCAATGTTGAGATGGGTGGCATGGATGATGAGACATCAGCCAAGGAGAATGGAGGCAAGAAGCGAAGGAAGAGAAAGCAAGAAGACTACGACAAGGAGGATGACTTCATCGATGACACCGAGTTGGCCTGGGAGCAGCAAGCCCTCATGGCAAAGGACGGCTTCTTTGTATACAGCGGTCCGCTCGTTACTGAGGAGAAGCAACCTGTAGAGAGGTATGTATTTGGCATTGCATTGGGTTGTTCTAGGCTAACAATCCACAGGGCTGATGGCACCATCAGGCGCGGCCGAGGCCGTGGACGCGGTGGCACAGTACGAGGAGAGACATCAGGTCGTGGCCGTGGCCGTGGCGGAGGCCCTGGCTCTCGCGGTGGCTCCACTGTCCGTAAACCTCGCGTTACCAAGGCCGACCGGGCTGCTATGGAACAGGAAAAGGCTGCCCGCGAGTCTCTTGCGCAGACAATTGCAACTAAACAACCTCTCGCTACCCCCTCCCACCAGGCTGGCCAGACTAGTGTGGCGTAACCAAAATACGTTTCCGGCATAAATGACCTCCAGTTTACATCAACTAGTGTGAGATGCATCTCAAATGTGTTATAGGTGGTCTTATCGGCGTTGGATCCGGGATCTTGCAATCAATTACTGTTTTTTTCCATTTTCCCCTTCTTCTGTATCTGATTAGTTACTTGTACGATACCCAACAGTGGGGCGGTTGTGGCATGCCATCTGGCTCGTGGAAAAAAGAAGGTCCGGAGGTTTTTTGTATGTGTAGATATATCGGCACGGCGTTACTGTTTTCACTACTGCCTTTAAAGATTCTAGAAATTATCACTTTCAATACGTGTGTCCTTTTTCTTTGCTGTTGTACACAAGTGACGAGTGGACTTTTTCCACTCTCAGAGAGCTCTTTCCTAATCTCTCCCATTCTTAAACGCCATGACGTAATTTACATACAGAGCGGCTCTGTACTAGTCTAAAGCCATTGTCTTTGACTGAGTCAAGGACGATGACCTACAGAACAGAAATCACATGCTTGAGTTACTGCAGTACCGTGCCTGGCCCGCACATTCCGTAAGTGTTCCATTTGCTAATGTCAAGGAGACATCTTATAGGCGGAAAACTGTGCAGTACGTTATAATTGATATATAAATAGGCTACTCAGGTTGCCATTTCCTGTTCCCGTTCGTACATACATTTTTTGTTTTGATCAAGATGTCCGATCCTGCTCCTTTTTCTTCCGATACGGCTCCGAAAATGATGTTAATTCAGGATCTTCGAAAAGAGCTTGAGGCAGCTATTGCGTCGGCGAATCGTAAGCCGAAGGTCTATAATAAGACTGCTGCGATACTTGTGCATTTTCAGGATGATGACGTCAAGTGTGGCATTGTGGAGGATGAATTGGCGACTACGTTCCGCGATGTACTCGGTATTGAGAAGGTTGTACGAGTCTCGCTAGAAGCAGAAAAGACAGGCAAGCTCATTTTTGAGAATATACGCGCATTCTTCGAGCTGCACCCGGAAAATCAGTGCGCCGACGACTGTCTCGACATCTTCGTGATTTCTGGCCATGGCAGGCGACATGTCGATATGAGAGATGGTCAGGTAAAGCAGCATACACTCTTGATTAGGTAACTTAACTTCCACCACTCTCTTTTTTTTCGTGCGGACTGCTAACAATTCATAACAGCCCCTTCATCGACACTGAAAGCGTGAACGGCAAGGATCCGAAGACGCTTGGTACTCGAGCACTAGACTGGCATTTCGGAACTAGCATCCTCTCTCACGCTTCATGCGATGTTATCCAAATCCTAGACTGTTGCTACTGTCATGGGACTAAAGAATTAGGAATAGAAACACTGGCGGCTACGATGGAATCCGCTGGTTACAAGGAAACCGACACATCCTTTTCTGAAAGCTCTGATTACAACGCTAAAGAAGCTTTCTACATCCCCTTTCACAATGGCAGATGTCTATGTGAGGATGCAGCAGGATCGGAGGGAATTGCAGCTAAAGCATGTTCCATTTGACAAGAAGAATGACGAAAAGGATCCAGTTATGTTTGGAAATTCGAAATCCAAAGGTGGAAATGCAGGTTCAGAGTCCAGACCAGATGATCTACAGGTCCTTGTAACTACACATGTTGACGAGAATCTTAGCGAGAGCGAGGTTGAAGAATTGAAGAATTGGTTTCGCAACACTGTCTCCTCTACTCAGAGGGGTGACTATCAAGGTGGAAGGCGTTTGGAAATCGCTAGTTTCTATCTTGCTCCTCGCTCTTCCAATATTAGTCTGGAATCAGCTGCGTTACAGCAAATTCGCGTGGAATTACGTTGGGCAAGTGACTGCAAGTAACGCGTTGCTACCATAGGCTACGGGGGGGCATTGCACTTCCTCTCATGCCACCCCAAGGTTAGAAGAACCGAAATCCAGGACTATCTTTTAGGCAGAGGTACCCCGCCTAGGTATAGGCGAATAGCGCCACAAGTTGGTAGGGAAGGTTCGATATGTAGGCGACTTCCGTTTCTAGAGCTCGTTTGTAGTCTCTCTCACCCTCAAGCCGCTAGTGCGTCACTATCAATAGAATCACTCTCACTTTCATTTCTAACTATTTTGTTCTTGTTCCATTTGCAAAACCCTCCCAACTACTATCAATTGTACTCTTCCAACTCTGAAAACCCAGGGACAAAACACTCTGCTGCTGCTTCTGAGAAACGATCAAGAACGTCATAGCCAGCTCTACCACAAAGTCTACAATGCTACCCAGTGCCGACAGCATTACTGAGCGCTCGCGAAAGTTTTACGATGGAACATACACGTGGGATTCTGACGGCTTCACCGACGACATGGGAGGTAAGAGCAAAGGAACAGGGTGTGGATAACAAGGTACTGACGACAGGCAGTATATCGTACTTTTGACTGCTACGACCCGGATGCTCGAGCTCCAACACCGCTGCCTCCTATGTTTTTGAGCGATGATGAAGAAGATGAGGTGCTGCAATGTGGCGCTGGTGCCGACATTGAGACTCTTGCGTTGGCACCAGACGCTGGAAACAAAGGAAGCACAGCAACGGCGCGATGCGATGAGTCGTCTCGTGGTCATGCCGATAAGAAGCATCTCGTTGGAAAGACGGAATACGCCTTGCAAGACACCATCACACCGCCTACTAGTCCCACGGTTAAGAAACTAGACACAGCTATAGTCGGAAACAAGCACACCAATCCCATAACGCCTCCAAAAGACGTCAAATCAAAGGTTCAGAATCCTTCGCCCTCGTCCTCGGGTCTTTCAGACTGTCCGTCAGATCTCTCTGAGTGGGATGTAGGCCTTCCGGTAAGTACTCATGCAGATAGCGTGACTTGTTGTGGCACTGCTGAGAAGGTTTTAGAATCTAAGTCAAAAGAAGACTACAAAGACGAGCAAACCGCAAGAGCCTGCTCCGAAACCGACAAAATCAAAAGTTTCGACTCGGGGAGTTGCACAGAAGGTTAAGAAGGTAGTGAGAAAAGGGAAGAAATGATTGTGCAGTGTGGTAGCTACAAGTTCGTTCACTTGACTACTACACTGTTGGATTTGCAGACTGGCAGCTACAGCATGGTCCGTTAGACACGCGGCTATCAAAAAGTACTCAAGCCCACGCTGCTGGTTCATATGCTCAAATGGAGATCAAAAAGTTTTGTATCTTTGTCCTTGCAGGGAAAGAGGCATGTGGTGGTTGTGAACACATCACAAGACGATGGATACTCAAGAGACATTCTAATAGTATCGTTCTGCCTATTACAACACAAACGCCCTGTACATTACTCCTACCCCAAAACATCTCCACACTTTTCCGTCTCGTCATGTTCATGATAAAGCAAACATCTCGCCCACCTCCACGGCTTACACGCCTCCCATTTACCCTCTTTCCTCGCCCTCCTCGCCGGACTCCCCTGCACCTCCTCCTCCTCCTCTCCTCCCACCCCGCCACCGCCGCCCCCTCCCCAACACACGCATTACAAAACACCCCTCCACGCCCCTACACCTCTCACACGCGCCCACCTCCCCCCACTGCACCGCACACCAAACCCTCAACCGATGCCTCCTCACCACCTGCTCCGCCGGCCTCTTAACCCCCCACCACCAATTCCCGCATAAACCGCGGATGCCACTCCTACGGATGTCCCTCAACCAGCCGATCCGTCTTCTTAAACACAAAAAAGATCAACAACTAACCGCCGCACCGCCGCGCTCTCGCGTATCTCGTCGTACAGGACCCAGGTATGCCGATGGCGTAGGCACGCTGTTTGTGGTGTCGGCTAACGTGCTGATGGCGTTGCGGGCGGCTTCGAGACCGAGGCGGTCGGCGAGCGCGTAGGTATGCAACAGGGTGTAGTAGGCGGGTTTTTTCCGTCTTTGAAGGGGGTGCGGTATGTGCGTGGTGTGGAGGTGCGTTACTAGCAGTGACAAGTGGCTGGGTGATATGTCGGAGAGGGTGATGCTGCTTGTGCTGGATTCGATAAAGGGGCCAAGCAGGGCGGCGCGGAAGTAGGCAGAATGTTGAGTCAAGAGGTGCGTGTGGAGGTGGAAGGGTGTGTGTTTGGGGCCTACGAGCATGGTGCTTGTGCGCGTGTATTCTTGGGCGTTTTCTTTGGTCATGTATGGCGTTGTGTTGCTGGTCTTGCGGGTGCTTTGACGTGTTGACTGGCTGGTAGAAGAGCCTGGCGAGCGTGTGTGTGTGTGAGACCTGACTTGAGAGTGCAGTCTGTACGTCTCTCCAATCATATAGTGATGACGAATTCCGTGAAGAGACTTGATTTGCCTCGGATCAGACGCTGCATGGTACCATAGTGCGTGGCTGTCTCTTCCTCTATCACAAATTCTAATGTCCAGCTCTTCTCTACTTTGCCCCAGATCCACCTGATTCCCAATTTTTCACCAAGTCAAAATAATCGAAAATACCGCGCTAATAGAAAAACTTCGGGACGTTAGTCTTTTTGAGAACAAATAGACTCTCGCTACAGAATCCTCCGTTGTTTTGATTGTCAATGGTTGTTGTTGCGTGAGGATTCATTGACAAAAGGATGGTCTTGTAAGTCCTTGAGGTTGGCACGCATTGTCTTTGTCGCAACGCACTGATAAAGTAGCAAGCACTGCGCCGCAGGCCGGCCTTTGTCTTTACAAATATCATCTTGCATGATAACAGTAGTAACTTTCAAACACTTTTATTCGTTTCATTTTGGCCAATACAAGGCATCTTTAACTGTGACCTCGAGTGGCATAAAGAAGAGATATCTTACCAACTATCTTACAAAAAACACCCCACTATGTGTTACTAGATTATACAAAAGGGACTCAGTCTGCCCTCATCGAAGCGTCGTTTCGTCGTGCCAATGTACTTTTAACATGGCTGTGGAGTAATCCGGTGCGAACTTATGCGACAAAGTTCTTGATGTCTAATGATTTTGTTAGTGCCAAAGTTTTTCTTATTATTCAGGTGGGGTGACCTACTGTTCAGCCACCTGACGTATTCCTTCTGCTCCTTGTGGTCAATGTAGTCGGGGATGAAGAGTGCAAGACGAGTGTTGATGCCACGCTCCTCGAGGTACTTTTCAAGCAGAATCTGGAGGTCCTCATCCAGGTTGTTGAAAGGAGGGCCCTGGGACAAGTTAGATCTGAGACACATCAAGATATCAAGTCGTAACCACATACAGTGTAGAGCGCACGCCTTGCCCAGTCCTTCTCAGCGGTGGCAGGGTCAGCCAGATCAGCTGATGGGAAGTAGTAAAGATCCTCGATCAGGAAGTCGCCATCCTGGGCAGTAGCCTCGATAGCCAAAGCGCCCTTGCCGGGACGCTCGATGCGGATGCTGGCATGGGCAGGGAAGCCCTGCTGTGACTCGTCGTTCTCGTAGTCATCCTCGAGCTCCTCGCGGTCGGCAGGAGCAACGCGGTCCTCGGGCGCTACACGGATGTTTCCATCTGGAGTCTTGCCCTGGTTGATGGCACCCTTGGTGTTTGCGCCTCCAGACTGCACATCCATATCGGCATCATCGAACAAGGCACTGTCCTCGGAAAACTCATCGCCGGCCTGGTTAGTGTTGAGGTCGGCCGTTGTAAAGGTGATGCGGATCTTTTCGTCATTGTACGTGCGGGTCAAGACGACTTCTTGGTTGCCATCCTGGTCCTCAATCTATGTCCATATGAGTATTTGGCTATGCATATTCAAATATGTGGAAATTCTAACCTCAAAGGGGCTGTTCTCAAGATATTCCTTGATGTTTGCTGAGAGATCCTCATCCTCTTTCATGCTCTCTTCCATGGCGATTTCACTGTGGAGCTTCGCAACCAGCTCCTCATTGACTGTTATTTATATTAGCCAACGTATTCTATTTTGAATTTGCGCAATACATACTACCACTATCCTCTCTCCTTGCTGCAGACATGGAGAAAGAGGCTGTGAGCCTGGGCACAGCGACAGTCCATGCTGGCTGGAAAGCAGCCGTCTGGCGCAGAGCAGTTTGCGGGCGTACTGCTTTTGTGGAGAAGCGAGCGGCGGACCGCGGGACGCTGCGGGCGAGGTTTCGTAGAGAAAGCATTGTATTTGCAGAGTTTATGGTTGTCTTTGCAAAAACACGATGGCAGCAATTGGTTCGTGAAGAAAGAAGAGCAACAAATGCGTAGGCGGCGGGAGACGTAACTTTTCGATGGCCCGAGCTTGCGGGGACCACAAGGTCGATGTGAAGTGGGATGGGCTTGGCGCCGAATTGCGGCGCCGACTGCTTACCTCCGGGCGTGGATAATAATGCAACCAAGTTCGACTGCAATACGTACTCTAGATCGCGGGCGTTTAGGCGCACAAAGCGGCATTTGCATCTTCTTTGCAAACTGCAATTGAACCTAATACTCGTGTAGAAATTATCGCAAGTTCAGCCGCGATATCAACACTACGTCACGTCACTATTTCGAGTCACTAACCAAACGACGCCGCGGTCTGCAAGTGCAAAAAAGTCCGACTTCACCAAAGCACATAACCCTACGTGCCCTTGTGGAGCCCAGTTCAGCCATCATGGCGACTGCACAACCAGAGAAGAAGAAGAAGCCAAGTGCTATGCGCTCCATCCTGGCAGGCGCAACAGCCGGCGCCGTTGAAATTTGTAAACATCCACCATTCCGATCAACGGATAGAAAAAGATAGTGTACTGACTCTTTACTCTAGCAATTACATATCCCGCAGAGTGTACGCTCCATATAACCCACCTTACCTCCACCGCGCTGACCGGAACATAGTCGCAAAGACACGATCGCAGCTCAACCGACGATTACCAGACGGGAAGAAGCTACCATGGCCGCCATTTGGCAAGCAATGGTACGCAGGATGCACAACACTGATTATTGGCAATTCGCTCAAGGCCGGCATACGTACGTTTCCACACATACACACATAAACCTCGCGGGTCTCGTCGTGCTGACACAAAAGTTATGCAGGCTTCGTTGCATTCGACATGTACAAGAACCTCCTCGCCGACGCTGAAGGCAAAGTCTCTGGTCCCGCAACCGTCATTGCGGGTTTCGGTGCCGGAGCCACAGAATCGCTATTGGCAGTCACACCCTTTGAAAGTATAAAGACACAACTGTACGTATACACACCTTACTCACATGCCCCCTCCCCACCTCCCGCACACGCTCTCTCTCTCTCTCTCCCAAACTGACCAATCCTCTCTCCATCTAGTATCGACGATCGCAAATCCGCAAACCCACGTATGCGCGGCTTCCTGCACGGCTCCAAGGTCATTGCCCAAGAAAAAGGCATACGAGGCTTCTTCCAGGGTTTCGTGCCCACGACCGCGCGTCAAGCTGCCAACTCAGCCGTGCGCTTCTCAAGCTACACATCGTTCAAGCAACTGGCGCAGTCATACGTTGCCCCTGGTGAGAAACTCGGTGCAATTAGCACGTTTGGGCTTGGAGGACTGGCGGGCATCGTTACGGTTTACACGACTATGCCGATTGATACGGTCAAGACGAGGATGCAGTCGATAGAGGCGAGGAGCTCGTATAAGAATAGTTTTGACTGTGCGGTCAAGATCTTTAGGGATGAGGGTCTCCTTACATTCTGGTCGGGCGCGCTGCCTAGGCTGGGGAGATTGATTCTCAGTGGCGGTATCGTCTTTACCATGTATGAAAAGTCCATGGACTTGATGGATAGACTGGATCCTCAGGGCAGGTACATATAAGTCGAAATAAACGCAGGAGCATGCAAAGCTGGCATGGGCAGTGGGCAATAGAGCGCGTTGTCCACTTGGAATTGAAATCTTTCACCAATGGTCATGGATTCAAAAGTATGCGCTTTTTCGTGCTCTAAAAACTTGATTTGAGCTTTCTTGACTCTATACTTGTATGCTTCACAACTAAAACCCGCCATGCTGCTACGACTACGACTGCTACTGCTACTACTGCTACACCAAACGACTAACATACTCTAAAGCCTTCAGCTCCTTTATTGGTCGCCATGCAAACCACTTTAAGCAGCGGCCGGCGCAGGCGCACCGGCAGGCTCAGTACCGGCAGGTGCAGCAGGTGCAGCACCAGGGGTGCCCTCAGTCGTCTGGGGAGGAATAGCAGTGTTGTTGATCGCATCGCCCTCGTTCTTCTTTGCCCACTTGGGCTCCTTTGCCCATTGGGCGTCCCACCAAGGGCCCGCATCGCTCAATGAGCAACCCTTCTCACACTGGCAAGTTCCACCAAACTCCTTGGGCAGGTTCTCCGCAGGCACCTGAGCCAACAACTCCTTTTGGTATCCGCTGCCCAATACGTGGATCTTGGCGCTTGTGACGGGGTCGAGGAACTTCTTGACCACGCTGAACACACCCGAGAATCCCCAGGGCGCGTTGATAATGTACATCTTTCCCAGACGCTCGGGGTAGTAGTTCTGGCTGATGGTGGAGACTTTGCCCAGGTAGCCGTACACAGACGTTGCCTTGCTGATACCAACGCCCTTCAGGTCCATGATTGTGCATGATGTCTCGAGTAGATAACCAGACTTGCGCGAGCAAGCGGGCAGACGCGGATCGGCCATCTTTTCGTATTCGCACACGAGGTTCTGGATCATACGCTCTTCACTCGTAATCTTGTTGAGTGCGGCAAGGTCGACTTTGCCGAGCTGCTCAATGTACACTGGGCGGCCGTCCTACAGAGCAGTTAGCGGTCTATTTGTTGACATGTGGCTTCGACGAGTTCATATTTATTTGTAGCAGATTTCAGACGTACCTTGTCGGTCTTGTGGTAATACTGGGGGTAGTACTCGAAAACCTGAGGCCGTTCGGCGTAGTCAAAAGTGCGGACAAGCTCCTCGACACCCACGCCAGCGTACTCGCTCCTCCACTTCTCGCAGTCAATGAACCTGAAGCCTGTTAGCAGGCCTGTTCTGCGCCCTTTCCTTTTCCTGTATGCAGTAACCGTGTACACTCACATCTTTTTCGAGAGTTCGACATCAAACTTTCGTGCGCGGAGGAATCGCAGCTGCGAAATGTTTAGCATAGGGGGTCGAGCGGCTCTCATAGATACTCATAGGCGTACCAGAGTCAAAGTATCGAGGTTCTTGGTGTGGCCAGCCTGCTCCAAGGCAGTTCTGAGCTCAACCAGAGCTGCATCTTGCTCTGGCGTGGTATGACCGGGATGTCCACTCTGAGCGGTGGGAGAAACAGTGGGATAATCGTAATCGTCATACTTGGGGTCGAGCTTAAGCTCAGAGGCGGGTGGTGCAGCTGCCATGGTATCGTGTATGTGAGAAGGACAGGCGGATGCAAGAAGGGTGTAAAGAAAATGTGTGCAAAAGAGTTACGTGTTGCGCGGCTCTGGGGGAGTAGTCGAAGAGTGCACGTTGATGCTGTCCAAGTGGGTCCCATCATTGCGGCGGTCAAGCGAGTCTAAGACCTCCCCCTCACCAGCTAGCCTGCTCCCCACCCAGCGAATTGTTGCCCCTTATCCCACCTCATGAACCCATTGGTGGCTATCGGCCCACGTCCACAGCGGCCTGCATTCCCTCAATTGCACCATCTCACTTTGCTCGTATTCATTGCATTCGTCACATGACCAAACTTTGTCTTGAACAGATAAACCTTAGTCAGACAAGCTCGGAAGCAAGCGACTCGGCCTTTTTTTGGGGGAACGACTACCTAGTTGATACAATGCAGAAAAGAAGAACGCAAGAGGAACCCAGAAAATAGATCAAACAGAACCCATATCGCGAAAAAGAAAGAAAAACACCTATCGCAGAACCAATCAGACGCTTCGCACACCGAAAAGAGGGTAGTGGTCCTTGTGTCGTCAGGCTACCAAAGAAAGCGTGTTCCAGACATAGAACAACAAACATTCATGTGAGATTCGTGTACTAACCGCTGGCATTGCCCATGCCCCTGCAGGATGACCACATCGCCCACCGTCTATCGAGCCACTCACCCCGCAATTGCCAACTCTGAATTGTCACCATAAAGCCCAAAGTGCTATGGGCAGACGATAGCAACCGAACACCGAGTAAATGACGCCTTGGAAACGATGGAGAACGCTATACCACAAGCCTATTGACATGCCCGGAGGCCGACCGACTCAACACCGGTCAATTCCTCCGATCTCGACTCGGCCCAAAGTCAACTTCAGACACCTTCTTTGCCTCTTTCCGGCTCTTGACAATGTATTGTGCGTACAGAGCCACGTGGTCACTGGGAAAGTGGTAGTTCGGGAAGCCTGGCACCCGCTGAAGGTAGCCCTTGTCAATGTCGCCAAGCAGGCCAACCACTTGCAGGGTGTTGGTCGAGTACCAAATGTAGTCCAATACTCCTTGGAAGTGTGGAACATAGTTTGTAAACGCCAGCTCGCCAATGGATGCGTAGCTAGACTTGAGGCTGAAGGGATGGGATATTCCGTCTCGTGTGAAGTTACCATACTTCCGGCTTCCCAAATCAGCGTGCACATTCGAAATGTTGCCATTGGTAATGAGGTCGTAGACACCAGAAGATGGCAGTGAATTGAAGTCACCACACAGCAATACTGGGATGTCGGCGGGGTCGGTATACACCTTGGATGGTCCTGGCTCTTGGGTCGGATCTGGCTCCGCTTCGTCATTGTCACCATTGGTAAACTGGTACACCACCTTGTTTGTGCAAGGTGGGTGCTTCGTCCATTGTGTCGCGAACTTGGTGATTCCCTCCATCAAAATGGCAACTTGCACGAGCTTGACGTCTTGGAATGCAGGGTTCCAGAACACGTGTACATTTCCAACAATGAATCTTGAACCAGTAGCACGATTTTCGAGGAATGCGAGCACTCCAATGTCGTCTCGTGGCATGACACGGTTGAAAATGTCGTGCTCACCCTTCATGTCTGGTCTGTTGATGGCCGTGTTGGCGAAATCGATCAGTTGCTTGTCAAGCAGGATGTATCTATACCAGTCAGCGATTTTGCTAATAGAAAGATGCACGTCTCAGTTCACTTACTTGCTATTCTTGTAGAAGATGGCACAGCCATCAACAAGCTTAGCTTCCCTCTCGGCCATGGTGCGTGCTCTGGACTTTGGCCAAAAGACTCCCTTATAGTCATTATGCGCAAGCGCTGCTCGGAAAAATTCATTGAAGCTCTCCTGGTCAATCTCCTGCAAGCATACAATGTCCGCATCGCGCTCTCGCAGTTCGGCCAAGATGAGTTCCCTGCGGCTTTCCCATGCAAGCGCCGAACTGGGCGTGTAACCGTATTGTGATTGCGTGCAGTACTTGTCGCACAGAATGTTGTAGCTCAGCGCACTCACAGTTTCTTGAGAGGTATCCTGGATCTCGTCGAGGACAATCCAGTCTCGCTCGGGTGGTGCCTCTGGTCCGGGTGCATTTTCGCGGAAGTGCTTGATGAGTTCCCCGGTACCCTGCTCCATGATAATCTGCTTCAGATCATCCGGAATTGGGTTGCCCTCAATACCAAGCATCTCCAATTGATACAAAGATCCCAATTCATACGGCAAATTCTCGATGTGGTTGTCGAATAGCAACAGCTGCTTCAAATTTACAAGCATGCCAATCTCTGGGGGTAGGTATTGCAGGTTGTTGAGTGACAGGTCGAGGTGTGTAAGGTTCCGTAATTGTCCAATCTTTTGGTGAACATAAGTAAGCTTGTTCGAATTGAGGTAGAGCTTGGTCAGAAAGGTGTAGGCGAATAGCGCGGGGGTGATAACTTTGAGGTTCTGGCCCCCAAAGTCGAGGATGGTCCATATATGCTGGTCTTTTGCGTCCTCTGCTCGTTGAGCAGCAGGTCTATTGCGCTCCTCCTTATCCGCCTCTTTCTGCATCCCATTGGTTGTTCCAGCTACGACGCTCTTGCTGACACTCGGGTGGATCCTGGCGTGCGAGTGGGCCTGTGTCATTTCACGCGCTGTTTGGTGCAGCTTCAATTGCTCTTGCCAGTGCTCAGTTTGTGGCTTGCTGAGACCGCTGTGAACGCTGTTCGGGGTACCATTGTGGAGGTGACCGGGGGTGAAGTGGGGCTGAACGTTGGACATGCCCCCGCTCGAGATGTTGTGCTGGTGATTGTATTGTCCAACATGGCTGTTCCCAGTAAGATCTTGATGTTGCTGGTGATGTTGATGCTGATGCTGGTGATGCTGATTGTGCTGAAAGGGCTTGCCAAGGCCCATTTGCATGGCAGCATAGTTTTGCTGCCCTGTCCGCCCGTTCATCATAACGTTGTGGCCCTGGTGCCCATGGCCCTGGTTGAACATACCGAATTGCTGCGGAGACGATTGGCGCCCAGGAGATCGAGCTGGCGAAGGGGTATCGGGGTTATTGAAAGGGATGCGGGCGCTAGTTGTGGGGGATCGCGCGCGAGTGGGAAGGTTTCGTGTGTTCTGATTGTGTCGTGGAAAAAAGGATTGGCCGGTTCCCCTGGGGTAGACCGAGTACTCGGCCATCTAAGTGAGTTCCGGCGGATGATTTCGAGGGGCCCGCAGGCGGCCGTGTGTATCGGGAGTGAAAGGCCCTGGTCGCTATGGCTAATGAAGGCGTCGGGCAGGCGGTAGGATTCGGGCACGCGATTTTTTTCGTTCTAACATGAGCGCCCTTACGACTCCTCGACATGAGCACGCGCTAGCAGAGGCGGGAGCTGTGCACCATGTACTGGAGGCGCCGGCGGTTCGCAAGTGAGGGTGGTCTAAAGCGGGGAGTCGGCAGTGAGCGCGGGTTTGGGTTCGCTCGAG